AAAAACAGAAGGCTTGCCTTTTCCTGGTTCTCTCTCTGTTCCTTGGTTCTCAGGAGACTTGTAAGATCCTTCAGAATCTTAGATTAGGGATGTGGGAAACATATCTGAGATGACAGAGTGAGACAGAGAGACAGAGAAAGAGATTGTACTGATACTGGGGCTTGAACTCAAGGCCTGGGAACTGTCCCTTAGCTTATTCACTCAAAGCTGGTGCTCTTCCCACTTGAGCCACAGCACCACTTCCGGCTTTTTTTGGTGGTTATTTGAAGAGTCTCACAGACTTTTCTACCTAGGCTGGCTTTGAACTACAATCCTCTGCTCTTAGCCTCCTGAATTGCCAGGGTTACACGTATGAGCCACTGGCACCTGACTCACATCTGCTACTTTTGCTCCATGAATAATTAGGTCAGAATAAAGCAATCAAGCCAAGTACCAGTGGCTTGTGCCTGTGATCCTGACTATTCAAGAGACTGAGATCTGAGACAGCCCAGTCCATGAGACTCTCAGCTCCCATTAACCACTCAAAAACCAGAAGGGATGTGTGGCTCAAAGTGGTAGAGCACTAGCCTTGAGCAAAAGAGTTCAGGAACAGCACACAGGCCCTGAGTTCAAGCTCCATGACCAAAGGGGAAAAATAAAAAGCAATCAAGACCTCAAGACTCTAGTAATGCAGCTGGATGGCTACCCCACAGAGTCCTCTGTGAGCCAGGGAACCAAACTACAGCCAAACACAGAGCAGGTTCATTCACTCACATAAAGGTTCCCACTTAAAGGAAGAGATCCATGGCTATTCTAAGAAGGTGGGCTTGTCTTATGGGTTCTCTGGCCATCAGCTTGATCCATTTTTCTGTCTCTTTTTCTGAAGATAGCAATCACTGAGGATTACAAACAGGATGGCAGATTGGGAGCAATGTGGGGCAGGGCAGTAAGGATCATTCTCAATCATGGTGGAAAACTGAGACAATCTAGGATCATAGTGTGGAAATGAATTCTCTCTAGATCATTTTCTCTTTCTCTTTCAAATAGGCTACTTAGAGCAGGAAGATGTCCCCATGACCCTAATCCAAGAATTTATTCAACAGAGATACCCAGTATGCTTCTTTTAGGTCAAGCCCCTGCTGGGGTGGTAGAAACCCAAGCTAAAACTCAATGCTTTCTTGGAGGAACTACTCCCAGAAGGAGAAGGAATTACAAAGGCCTTGAACCCAATGGAGGCTTGGCAGATTTCAAGGATGATATAATCCCAGACTTGAACTAAGGCCTTGAACTGGGGAAGGAAGAAGGTCCTAGGGAACTGGAGATCATTTGTGCTTTGAGGAGCTCCACAGTTGTGGGGGGCACAATGAGTATTACTAGCAGGTTAATTGCAAGCAGCAAGGAACCAGTAGGAGAAGCAGTAGAAAAGTGGAATGGCTAGACAGAAGCATGACACTAACTGCTAGAGAGAACTTGAAGGGAAGAAACTGGCAGGAGTATGGGCACCGGACTGTTATTATTCAGGAGTTCGGCTCTGTTCCTGGTTCCCTAGCAACTGCTATTGAGCATGTTGAGCATGTTGCTAAGCAACGTGGGGCCATCCAGACAGTGGGGTAAGGACCTTGGTGTGTGTGTGGGCAAGAACATCAAGGGTATTGCTAATCCTGAAAGCAACCACTGCATCCATTACTTAAATTTTCTCACCTAGTAATTGCTTTTCCTGACAAACACACATGCACACATAAATGTAGCAGTGATGCACAGGATCTGGACAAGTGAGATCTGGACAAACAAAATGAAAATTGTGATCTGCAATCTTGTTTATTTTTCCAGTCTTTCTCGGCAGGAACACATTTCCATCTCATGAGTACATGTGATTTTATGTTATTATTATTATCATTATTGTACCTTTCAATAGTTGTACAAAGGGGTTTGAATTCAACATGTCCATTTTTGTGAATACATCATTCTCACCCTATGGATCCCACCCTGCCTGTTTCCTCAGGTTTCTTAGTTCCATTTTCATGTCACACATTATTTTTTTTTTTACTTTGACTTAGACATCACAAGAATATCAGCTACTTAACAGTATTTTTCAAGATAATCTATATGATTGCATGAATCTATATAATTAGAGCAACTTCCCTTCCTTCCTTCCTCCCTTCCTTCCTTCCTTTCTTTTCTTCCTCCTTCCTTTCCTCCCTCCCTCCCTCTTCCTCCACATTTTTTTTCTTTTTTGCTTCTAGCATAGTGCTGGGGACCAAATTTTTGTGCATGCTAGGCAAGTGCTCTGCACTGAAGCATCTCCTCTGCAAGCCTCGGGTATAGCATCCATCATTTAATTAACTATTCTCCTCTTATTCCAAATGATGAATTTGCTTCCGATTTTTTGCCATGATAAACAATACTGCAATACAGATCCCACGGAGAACTTTTCTTATTGCCTTAAAATCAATACCAAGATTAAAAGCCATAATTAGTCCCACGACTGGCTATGTTTTATCAAACCACTTTACTCACAGAGGGCAGCCATTTTCTCAGGACTAAGAAATGGACCTTATCTCATTGTCACTAGGACTGTAATCTTTTCACTGGGTAGCTAGGTTTCTCTGAGAGAAGGGATTGGCTCAGGGTCATGCAGCTATCATAGTCAAGTTCTAATTTCCTGGCCTGATAGTCCCTCGTCTAGGACATCAACACAGATAATTCTGTCCCTTGATGAGTTTGATTGAATTCAAAGAGGTCCTGTGCGTCTCCTAATTAATCTACTAGCTGGTATTTTGTTTATTCTGTTTGTTTGTGGTTTCTTGGGTTTGAACTCAAGGCCTCCTGCTTGCGAGGCAGGTACTGTACTGCTGAGTCATGCCTCCAGCCCTTTTGTGCTGATTATTTTTGAAATAAGGTTTTGCTTTCTGCAATCCTATTTTAGGCTTCCTGAAGTAGCTAAGATGACAAGTATATGCTATCATTGAGATAGAGTCTTGTGTACTTTTCTGACTGGCTGAACCTGGAACCATGATTCTCCCAATCTCAGCTTCCTATGTAATTTAGGCTAAAAGTCAATCATACAAGCACCAGCTATGGGTTGAGAAGGGGGTCTCATGAACTTTAGGGGGGGGGGAAGGTTGTTCCTGGAGCTTCAACTCAAGGACTGGGCTTTCATACTCAAGGTTAGCAGTCTACCATTCCAGCCACAGCTCCACTTCTGGCTTTTTTAGTGGTAAATTGAGGATAAGAGTCTCAGAGACTTATCTGCCCAGGCTGGCTTCAAACTGCAATCCTCAAATCTCAGCCTGCTGAGTAGCTAGGATTACAGGCATGAGCCACCAGCGCCCCATTTGAGTGAAATTACTTCTGCAGAAATGCAGAAACACAGTTTCCAAATCAGTTACGCAGTGAGTGATGAGTTATTGCTATCCCTGCTCCTGTTGTTATTATTATTATTATTGTTGTTGTTGTTATTTATAATCTCCGGGTTCTATGACTCCCCCTAGCCAGCATCACCAATATAGTGAGTTACCACTGTCTAGATCTGGTCTTTGACCTAGCAGATGTCTCAATGAGCTTCTCTCTGACTGAGCTTCCTCTCTTCCACAGACAAACACATTCCCCTAAGTGGATGAAGGAGGTCTATCTGCAAGGTCTGCTAGGAAGGTCTTGTGGTCTTGGTTTCCTTCTTCACTCAAGGCTGGCACTCTACCACTTGAACTGCACCTTCACTTCCTTTTTTCCTTTTTCTTTATTTTTGTTTTTCTGGTTAATTGGAGGTAAGAGGCTTTATTCATCCATCAGAAAGAATGAGATTGTACCATTTGTAAGGAAATAAGAAAGATTTGGAAAATATTATATAGAAATACAGGCTGCCTGTTTTCTCTCATTTGTGGTAACTAAAATGTGCCTATAAATCTACAAGTCAACACACTGAATGACTAAAACAAATAACCCTGGGACATGATAAATTGTGTCGGACCCTAGTTAACATACAGAGGCCAAAGGAAGCTGTGCATAGGAGTGGTGGACAAAGGCTCAATAACGATGGACAGAGGAGCATACAAAATAATATGCTGTAATATTATTTCTGCTTTTTATCTGTCTGCTATTTGTCTATTTATCTGCTTGTTCACTTACTCAATAAACTCTGCCAGTTGTTTTTTTGTTTTTGTTTTTTTAATCCTAGCTACTCAGGAGGCTGAGAACTGAGGATCGCCGTTCAAAGCCAGCCCGGGCAGGAAAGTCCATGAAACTCTTATCTCCAATAAACCACCAGAAAACCGGAAGTGGCGCTGTGGCTCAAGTGGTAGAGCGCTCGCCTTGAGCTGAAGAGCTAGGGACAGCGCCCAGGCCCAGAGTTCAAGCCCCACGACTGACCCAAAACAACAAATGTACTGATTGTACCTGATTCATGTAAATATAACCCCTCTATATATCATCTATACACACACAATAAAAAATTAATTAATTAAAAAAAGCCTCAAAGCCCTGGAATGGCATGATGCCTCAAAGGGGTAGAGCACTAGACAAGCAAAGGAGGTCATGAAGGGCTCAGGGCCCTAATTCAAGCCCCACAACCGGAATTTCTGCCTGGGCTGGCTTCAAGCACAGATCCTTGGAACTAAACTTCTTGACTATAGGATTATAGACATAAACCACATTTGGCTGAGGATGGGGAGTAAATCCTGGAGACCTATGCAGCTGGTACCTCTGTTATTATTTCAGCTTTTCGAGGGCCATATCCCCCTTGGGTGCCCTGAGCTCCCAGCTAGCACAAGACTGACGTCCGGTTTCTATGGAAACAAGCCTACCTACGCAAAGTCTCGGGAGCGGACCCCAAAGCTGGAAGCTGGGGAGCCAACCTCAGCAACAAGGCTGTGAGCAGGGGAGGAGCTACGCAGAGCAGCACCCAGGCTGACAGGCCTAGAGGACACTGTCAGTCCACCCCCCCCTCCGCCCCATTGGCTCTGCCCCTGCCCCACCCCTCTGAGAATAGCAGAAATACTGCGCTCTCCGCTCGGATCCAGCTGACCTGTTGCCTATGCGCTATCTAGCCATGCCAATGGCTAATAACTACTTTCTGCGTAGACCTCTGGGCCTGGAGAAGATGTACCCAGATTCTGATCTGGAGTGTTCACACTTTTGGGACAAGCCTCCTCGGGAACAATTCATAGCTGCCCGTAGGCTCCGGTGGTCTTCTGGCGGCAAGAAAACTGGACGTCGCAGAGGGAGAGCACAAGGCTCCCGCTCCTGGCAGCAGCTAAAAATGATTGCGCGTACTCGGCGTACCGGGCATGGTACCCTCTGTATTCGGCGCAAGGAGGAGGCGCCTCCACTGGAATCGGGGTGCTACCTGGACCATTATCCCCGCCTTTCATTGTTCATCAATGCTGCCATTTCATTTTCCATCATTTCTTACATTTTTGCCTGTATCAATTTACAACTTGTCTGAGTAGCCAGGGAGGGGGTGCAGTGGGCTCAGAGCTGGGGGTGGGGGGTGGGGGGTGGGGGACGGGAAGGGGAGAGAAAAGCTTAACATTTTGTTTTGGGACGTACTGCATTTTCGTATAGCTTTTGGCTGCTTGTCTTCTGTGTTGTCTGTGTTGTCTGATTCATGCGTAAGAAGGCCAGTGAAATATTTATACAATCTGTAATGTTGAGAGTTCTGTTTGTAATTAGGATCGCGTGGCTGTATATTACCGCTTGTGGATTTGGCATACAACTATCTGAACATTTTGCTGGTAAGACAGCGCAGAGAGAGCCTGACCTGTTCCTGAACCGATGCGCCACTGGAACCCGTGGCCTTTGTAGAGGCTCTTGTACAGGAGGATCAGACTGGAGTGGCCCCCGGATTCAACGTGGCCCCCGGAGGAGCCAGCGGCGTGTGGGGACTGACGCAGTGAGAAATCGGAGCATGGGGGGGCTGGCCGACGCTAGCAGGCGTTCCGGGGCGCGCGACCAATCCAGGCGCGCGGTGGAACATCGCGCGGCCAATCCAAGCACGGGGTCGATCCGCCTCGCGGCCAATCTAGGAGCAAGGTGGACCCGCCCGCGCAGCCGACCCGGATGTACCTGGATGTGGATGCGCACTGAGCTCACGGACACCACCGGAGCGTGGGCTGGCCACGGTAAATGGCGTTGGTCTAGGCCCTATGCTTCTTCCTCAGGGGTTTGCAATGGCGCGTGTTGTGTATATATATTTTTTCTACCGTAGATTCGTGTTGTTACTGCTGACCAGAGCTGAAGACAGCCTGTGGTGTGGAGAAAAGACCTCGAGCCGGACCTGTCTTAACTGGAAAGCCATGCCCAGAAATGTGTAATTTTCGCAGTCTAATATTGCATACATTTTAAAGTAATGTCAGTAATTGTGGCACCATGGGTTAAATAAATCAATTTTGTCGGTCTTCGTTGTCAATTCTCCATTCATTTCCACCTGTTCAGTGGGCTCTGCGGGTTGCCATAATCCTGCCCACCCTGAAGATGGCGCTCACATTCCAGCGTTCCTGGTGCATATCTTCCACTAGATAGCCCCAAATTAACAACTTTCCCCTTGGCAAGTTCCCACCACATCCAGTACACTTTAACAGCGGATTTTTCATTACTGCATTACCCACTGCTCCTCAGTATTTTGTAAGGAACTTCTGTAAGGGGTAGCTTACACCGTAATCCTAGCTACTCGGTAGGCTGACATCTGAAGATCTCAGTCCCTGAGTCCTGCTAGTTCAGGCAGGAAAGACCAGGCTTATCTCTAGCTACCCCCAAAACAGCCAGAAATGGAGTCATGCCTAAGCAGTAGAGCACCAGACTTATGCAAAAAAGCTGAAAACATAGCATGAGGTACTGTCCATACACACATACACTAGATCAATTAGCCAATAAATAAAACACTTCTGGCCCACTACAATCCTTCAACTAAACTTGGAATTTTCCCCATTTCACCCCACATCTTTATAAATTGTTTTTCTTTTTTTCTTTTTTATTTTTTTTGCCGGTTGTGGGTCCTGAACTCTGGGCCTGGGTGCTGTCCCTTGGCTCTTCAGCTCAAGGCTAGCACTCTGCCACTTGACCCACAGCGCCACTTCCGGCTATTTTTCTTTGTGTTTATGTGGTGCTGAGGAATCGAACCCAGGGCCTCATGCATGCAAGGCAAGCGCTCTACCACTGAGCCACCTTCCCAGCCCTAACTTGTTTTTCAACAAAAGGGTCTTGATTCTGATTTCCCCTATCGCTGTGACCCTTGGTATTGTGTCCTACACTTCCAATGTCACAAGTGAGACATCTGTCCCCCAATGCCAGCCTGTCTTATAGCTAGTTTACAAAAACCCTTGCAGACTACTGGTTAATACTCCCCAAATCACCCCAAATCACATCTTCAAGATATTGAAACTGGTATCCTTCTGGCTTTTAATCTGAGATATTGCAGTTATCCTATCCCTTAGTGTTCATTTCATCCCAGCATATGGGTTCGTGTCTCTAAACTCGGTTCACATTCATATCTCTAGGGGGATTATTACCTCATTCTGCAGGTCTTCAAATGACTCATCAGGATATTCCTCAATATTATGTTGTCACCTAATCCTGATAAGACCATCCAGTCCCCAAACCAAAGTTCCCAGTTCTAATTATTTTTCCACTATATCATGACTCTGTGTTACTTAACCTATGCCCAATTCAACTATACTATACCATTAGTAGATTAAATTGGCTCCATTATTGTCAACCAGCCCCAGGTTGGGGTGTAGCCCAGTGGTACAGTACGTGCCTAGCCATGTCTAGCTCTATTTGACCCTTATTCCAGAATTAATTGCAGTTCCCTAAATGCTTGGATTACTGTCTCCCACATGTTCCACCCATACCTTCCTTAACATTCACCCATCACTATCCTCAAATTAATCTTACACCAGTTCCAAGATCTAGGTAGTCACACATGCTCAATGCCCACCTGTTTCATGGTAATGGTGTCCAAATATTGTTCTCTACTGTACTCCTATTTAAGGCATTCAGTGAAGTCTTCTCCAGAATATCAAGGCTTTCCACCTGTTAAGGACAGCCTTCTTAAAAGTTTGATCGTAATTTTTTTCTTGGTCTTTGTGCTATGTCACTTATGAATCAAATTCTAGGGAGCTGGGAATGCAGCTAAGTATGGCAAATAATTGGCAGGCACAACGTGTGTTGAAGCCCTAGAACTCACCCCACCCCATCCCCACCAAAGAATTTACTGGCCTGGCTAAGATCATATGCCTACCTTTGGCCAAACGGCAAAGATACATTACAAGGCAAGCCCATGAAAACAACACATAACAGGGAAGAAATGCTTTGTCAAAGAAAAACTCAAATGCCCTAAATGTACCAACATCCACTTTTAGCAGATAGACAATTGTTTGGAACAAGTGTGTTAGTGCTAGGAGACAGTACATGGAGGTGAAGTTATCTAAAATAAGGTGTCAGCGGGGCCACACCTTCTACGGAAGCCCTAAGAATCTGTTAATTCATTCACCTGTGCCAACTGTGGCTGTTGGCACTCCTTGATTTATAGCTATACTACTCCACTCTGCCACAGTGCCTTTGTCTTTTTTGTTGGTGGTCATGAGGCTTGAATTTAGGGCCTGGATGCTGTCCCTGAGCTTTTTTTGTTTTTGCCGGTCGTGGGGCCTGTACTTTGGGCCTGGGTGCTGTCCCTCAGCTCTTCAGCTCAAGGCTAGCGCTCTACCACTTGAGCCACAGCACCACTCCTGGTTTTTTTTCTTTTTGCTTATGTGGTGCTGAGGAATAGAACCCAGGGCCTCATGCATGTAAGGCAAGCACCCTACCACTGAGCCACCTTCCCAGCCCCCCTGAGCTTTTTTTTTTGCTCGAGGTTAATACTCTACCACTTTGACCCAGAACTCTACTTCTGATTTTCAGGTGGTTAATTGGAAGTAAGAGTCTCACAAACTTTCCTACGTAGGCTGGCTTGAACCACCAGCCTCCTGAGTAGCTAGGATTACAGGTGTGAGCTACCAGTGCCCTGCATGCCTCCAGCCCTTTTGTCTCAATCTTCCTCTAGCTTTCTCTTACAATGACATTATCACTGGATTTTAGAGCACATACAAAATCAAGATGATGTAATCTCAAGTTCCTGACTCATGCTCATATTCAACGACTCCCAAGAATTAGGACATGGACATATCTTTTTCTGGGATCCCCATCCAATCAAGTGCATTTAGAAGATTTGAAATGAACTACAAATGTGAAAGTTTTCATCTCAGTAAAAAGTCATATAAGGAAAGAAACATCCCATGATAGACAATAGAAAACTCAAGTTTTAAAAGCAAATACGTGTGCACACATGTGTACAGAATTAGAAATAGGATTTCTTGATAATAAACAGGCTTTCTAAATCCAATATTTAATTGTTAATATTAATACTCTTACTTCTGGTACATATATAGGAAGAACTCCAAAGCCTGTTCTTTTGGATAGCAGAAGGCAAGTGATACCTTAAGAGTACTCACTGCCATTCCTCCTCTTCCTTGGGTGACTTGATGGTACAAAGTATTTTGATGCTTATGAATAAGTAAATGTTAGGTACAAGGCAGATTCTAATTAAATGTACATGTACATTTCATAATTGGAGTAAGCCACAGGTGGCTTTTCCTCTACCAGTGGGAACCGTTTGCTGTCCTAGATCTTCTCCTGCTAGATTCCAATGTAGTCAAAGCCTTGTCCATGGAAAGTATTTTGGAAACAAAGCCAACTTCTCTACCAAAGCTCAAAGTTGTCTTGTTTTGTGTAATCTCTTTCTTATAAAAAGCTACCAACTGTTTAAATAGGGATACAGGTGGACCTATTGCAACAATGAGATGTACAAGTCATTATGTCGAAAATGAACTTTACAACTGTGGGGGGGGGAGCGCGGGGAGGATTGGGTGAGGGAGGCGGGGGGAGGATAGGAAGGGATGGGAAGGGGAAACAAAGGAGGAGGCTACAATGCTTGATAAGAAATGTACTCATTATCTTGCCCATGTAATTGTAACCCCTCTGTACAGTATTTTCACAATAACAAATAAATAAATAAAAGTTACCAACTTCCTCATGTAAGGAAAGTTATGGCTGAGAACAAGTGTTCTGTGTTGGCAGGCCCCTAGAGCAATGCATGGTTAATGAAGAGCCACTTGCTTTAAGTTTCTCATTTGTTCTCTTCCAAAGAATAACCCATGGGACCAATATCACAAAGGACTTATAATCAAAGCACACCTTTACAAAAACTTTGTTTATGTTTCAACTTTTATCATGTCTCCAGATAAGCCATTATTGAAACCAAGAATCCCATCCCACCCGTTAGAGGCCTCTCATGAACAAATTCTTCCTAGAGTAGTTCAAGGCAGCACACAGATGCTTCAGGAATGGGTCAATAAAGATGTGGAACACATAAAAAAAGCAAACAAGCTCTAATTTTTTAATAGTCTCTTATTATTGAGGAATTAAGATGTTTTCAGTTTTTTGTTTTCCTTTTCCACATTGTCTCGGATGTTCTTGAGTTTTCTGGAGTTTTGGACCATTGATACCAAACTCTCCCTAAAATCACTAGTCCCATGATCTCTGCCAATGTTTTCAAGCTCATCAAACAAGGATAAGGTCTGTTTGAGTTTGGCCTGAACAATTTTTTGCTCTTCTAATTCAGTAAGAAGGGCGTGCTTCGTACATAATTCAGTCTTATACTTGTTTTGTAACTCTTCAATTTCTTTTTGGAGAAGCCGAAATTCTTCCTCACTATATGGATGCGTCTCCTGACATTTATCTTCAGGAAGTAAGATGTTTGGAGGAATATGCAAAATCAACTGCAAAAACAGGTGTTCCATTTTGCCAAAAAGGTTATCAAAACGTTCTTTCATGAAACAAAGAAACTTCTCTGTGCATTTACGAATTTGGACTGGGCTAAGGTCACAGTCTGGGATGTCTTCCAGCTTCTTCAGAATAACCTGTTCAACAGCCTGCATCACTTCAAATAGGTAGTCTTGAAATGCAATGTAGATCCTCAGCAGGCAAGTCTGTGGTGTGAAGCCAAAGAACTGCGCCTCATAGGCCATTGGATCCACAGACATTTTGGTTTAATTTGCTATTCTTAGTTGCCAAAAAAAAAAAATCTGCAAAGGTAGAAAGAAATTAATGTGAATTTTAAGAAATATAATAGCTAGTGACTCATACCTGCAATCCTCACAACTTGGGAGGCTGAGATTGTTAGATCACAGTTTGAGGCCAGCCTGGGGAGAAAAAAGTTCTTGAGATTCCTTCTCTAGAAGAGCTGTTCTCTTAGCTACCAGGAAGTCCAACATGGATGAATCCTAGACACCTATCTATCTCAAAAATAATGAGCAAAACAAATTTGGGCTGGAGGCATGACTCAACTATAAGGGACCTGTCTGGCAAGGGTAAGGATGCAGACTTCAAATTTCAGTACAGAGGGAAAAAATCAAGAGGATCTGGGCAAGGTGATACATAATCTGAACACACAGGAGGCAGAGGCAGGAAGATTGCAGTTTGAGGTCAACTGGGCCACTAGTTTGTTTCAAAAAAAAAATGATACTAATCATTATCAACAGTAACAGCAAAGTAACGAATCACATCACAAACAGCAAGCAAAAATAGTAAGTTTGTGCAGCTTGATGTTATTTCCAGGCCTAATTGTCAACTGAAAGGTATAAACTTTTGCCTCTCTGGGACTTAGCCTATATTCTTCTTCTTTCTCCTTTGACTCATTTCTCATTTAGTTACTTTCAACTTTTTTTTCCTTTGTACTGGCTTAAACTTAGGGTCTAGGTGCCATCCCTGAACTCTTTTGCTTACAGCTAATGCTCTTACTTGAATCACAGCTCTACTGGCTTTTGCAGACAATAGAAGAAATGAACCTCATAGCTTTTCCTATCCTGGCTGGTTTTGTTTGTTTGTTTTTGTCAGTCATAGGGCTTGAACTCTGGGCCTGGGCACTGTCCCTCAGCTCTTGAACTCAAGGCTAGTGCTCCACCACTTGAGCCACAGTGCCACTTCCAGCTTTTTCTGTTTATGTGGTACTGAGGAATTGAACCCAGGGCCTCATGCATGTGAGGCAAGCACTCTACCACTTAGCCACCTTCCTAGCCCTCCTGGCTGGTTGATCCTTACATCTCAGTATTCTGAGTAGATAGAATTACAGGTGTGAGCCACCAGCACCTAGCTTATTTTCAATTTTTATTTGGCATATGTTATATTGTATATAAGATTTTCAGTATGACCTTTTCATCCATGTATATAATGTAGTTGGCACCTACACCTCTATCAGTTTTTATCTCTCATTTCTCACATATCAAAGACTTAAGCACATAGTTCAATGTTGTGAAATTTGAAATTTACACAGATGACATTATACCTACAGAGACTCTCAGTTTTTTTTTGTTGTTGTTTTGTTTTTTGGGTCCGGTTGTGGGGCCTGAACTCTGGGCCTGGACGCTGTCCCTCAGCTCTTCAGCTCAAGGCTAGCCTAGCACTTTACCATTGAGCCACAGCACCACTTCCGGTTTTCTGGTGGTTAATTGGAGATAAGAGTCTCAAAGACTGTTCTGCCTGGGCTAGCTTTGAACCACGATCCTCAGATCTCAGCTTCCTGAGTAGCTAGGATTACAGGTGTGAGCCATCAGTGCCTGGTCTCCTCTCTCTGGGCCTGGGCACTGTCCTTCAGCTCTTCAGCTCCTGGCTAGCACTCTACCACTTAAGCCACAGTGCCACTTCTAACTTTTTCTGCCTATGTGGTGCTGAGAAATTTAACCCAGGGCCTCATGCATGCAAGGCAAGCACTCTACCACTGAGCCACCTTCCCAGCCCTTAAATTAGTTTTTTTTTTGTTGGTCATGGGGCCTGAACTCTGGACCTGGATGCTGTCCCTCAGCTCTTCAGCTCAAGGATAGCGTTCTACCACTTGAGCCACAGCACCACTTCCGGGTTTTTCTGCACATGTAGTACTGAATAATAGAACCTAGGGCCTCATGCATGCGAGGCAAGCACGCTACTACTGAGCCACCTTCCGAGCCCCAAACTAGTATTTTTTTTGGGGGGGGGAGGGAGGGTCCAATCATGGGGCTTGAACTCTGGGCCTGGATGCTGTCCCTCAGCTCTTCAGCTCAAGGCTACCACTCTACCACTTGAGCCACAGCACCACTTCCGGCTTTTTTCTTTTTGCTTATGTGGTGCTGAGGAATCGAACCCAGGACTTCATGCATGCGAGGCAAGTGCTCTACCACTGAGCCACCTTCCCAGCCCCTAAACTAGTATTTTTAATGTCTACCCTTTTGATTTATCTTTAGATCAAAAACATATAGGTATATCTGTAATATGCATTATATATACATATAAATATGTATATATTTCCAAGTATAATAGGCTTATTGTTTTGTTGTTTCTGTGCCAGTCCTGGGGCTTGAACAAAGGCTGTCCCTGAGCCTTTGTACTCAAAGCTAGTGCTCTACCACTACTTCTGGCTTTTTGGGTTTAATTGGAGGTAAGAGTCTCATGGACATTCCTGTCTGGTTGGCTTTGAACTGTAATCTTCATAGCTTAGTTTTTTTTGTTTGTTTTTTTGGGTCCGGTTGTGGGGCCTGAACTCTGGGCCTGGGCGCTGTCCCTCAGCTCTTCAGCTCAAGGCTAGTGCTCCAACACTTGAGCCACAGCACCACTTCTGGCTTTTTTCTTTTTGCTTATGTGGTGCTGGGGAATCAAACCTAGGGCCTCATGTATGCAAGGCAAGTTCTCTACCACTGAGCCACCTTCCCAGCCCCCATATCTTAGTTTATGATTACAGGTATGAGCCACTGTATGCAGCTGTTAGAGGTTTTTAATATGCATGTTAACATTCCTCTGTGTGTGTGTGTGTGTGTGTGTGTGTGTGTGTGTGTGTGTGTGTGTGTGTGTGTGTGTGTGTGTGTGTGTGTGTGTGTGTGTGTGTGTGTGTGTACCACTTTTGGGGCTTGAACTTAGGGCCTAGAGCACTTGCTTTGTTTTCTGCTAGGGCTGTCCCTCTTCCATTGAGATATACCTCCCCTTCTGAATGTTGATGTTTATATGTTTGAGATCATTTCAATTATTTTACTCAAGTTTACTTACTGGCTCTGACTGGAGTTTTTCAATATTGCATGCATATACTACACCTAAAGCCTCTGTTCTCCTTGACAAACACCTTATTTGCTTCCACTAACTGGAAATGGAAACCAGGGCATCAGGCACTGAGAGCAAGTACTCTACCACTGAGCTACATACATTCTTAGTCCTGCTTTCAGCATGCTACTAACAGAAAACTTCTAAAGAACATTTTCCTGCCGGGCACCAGTAGCTCTTGCCTATAATCCTAGCTACTCAGGAGGCTGAGATTTGAGGATTGAGGTTCAAAGCCAGCCCAGCAGGAAAGTCCATGAGACTTTTATCTCCAATTACCACCAGAAAACTGGAAGTGGCACTGTGGCTCAAGTGGTACAGCCTTCGCCTTGAGCCAAAGAGCTGAGGGACAGCATCCAGGCCCACAATTCAAGCCCCACAACTGACAAAAAGCAATGCCAGGTGCTGGTTTCCTGGTGCTAGCTGCTCATGTCTATAATCCTAACTACTCAGACTTAGTTGAGGTCCAAAGCTAGCACAGGCAGGAAAACCCATGAGACTCTTATCTCCAATTAGCCACCAAAAAGCCAAAAAAGAGCTGTGGTTCAAATGGTAGAGCACTAGCCTTGAGTCAAAAAGTGAAGGAACAATGCCCAGGCCCTGAGTTCAAGTACTGGCACAAGCAACATTAAAAAAATGTATCCAGCCTCACACACTGGCTAGACCACCTATACCTCTCCCTGACTAATGTTTAAAATGAATGACTTTACTATGCTAGAATATTTCTATTATTCAAATAGGTTGGTGATTCATTACAAACTGCCCAGAAGACAAATTAACTTTAATGGAGTACCAAAAAAACTCGTCCCCTACATTTCTCTAACCTTCTTGCTTCAAAATTTCCACTAGTCCTGCATTGTCATGATAATCTAGCACTCAAATTGAAAAGCTCATCTTAAGCCGACCTTCAAATTCCCTCCCTCCCTGGAGTAGAGCTGTGAGACCTAGAAAGGGGTAGGAGATTGGAAGACGATTTCAACAGCACTCAGATGGCGGAGAGCTGGGACCTCGAAAGATCAAACAGTTTAGGAAAAACAGAGGCTCAAGCTTCTACATTAAGTGTGAGCTGCCTGGGCACCAAACGTCTGAAACCCTAGGGAAAAGATGAAAGTCTACATTAGTGTTGGAGTGTTTATTGCTTTCTTCCACTTCCTAAGGAAGCCAACACTGTATACTGTCTCCAGTTACTTATTATAACTTCATCAACAGATTGATACCTTACTCTCTGCATGTACCTGTAGTCACCTCCCTTGTACTGAACTACATAAAATGGCTTATCCGGATCTTGGGATTCAGAAGATGAGGTAAGCTCTAGATCCCATGGTGCCCCCTTTCCTATCCTCTCTCTCCTTTCTCAGTTCTCCCGCCCTGTATCCCATCTTTCTGCTATCCCTGGTCATGGTTAGTGACACTTGCCTTTCTTCCTGATGAGACAGTGTCAATGTTTTGGTGTATGTTACTCATTTCCCCTTCCCCCCTTCTATTTTTCTCTTCCTTTTAAGTCAGACAGGGTGACCTCTAATTTGCCCAGGCTGACCTAGAACCTTAGATTCAGTCTCTACCACAACTTCCCAGAGTAGTTGGGGCCAAGGCACATGCCACCATTCCCAGTTTTAGCCTTTATTTTTTTTGTCGGTTGTGGGGCTTGAACTCTGGGCCTGGGTTATCCTTTATTTTAAAAACCATTTTACAACTGTTTACTGGTTTCTTCTTTACCAGACCTGATAGTCATTCCCTTGCTCCATAATTCATTCTTTCTTTTTGTTGGTGATGCTTTTGGAGCTTTGAGATCAGGGACTAGGCACTATCTCTGAGCTTTTTGGCTCAAAGCTGGTATCCTACCACTTGAGCCACTCTCCTACTCATGGCTTTCTGGTGGTTAATTAGAGATAAATCTCAGGATTTTCCTGCCTGGGCTGGCTTCAAACCGTCATGTTCATACCTCAGCATCGTGAGTAGCTGGGATTATATGCGTCACTGGCTTCTGGCACTGTTCCATAACTCTACAGTGGTTCTTTAAAACTTACAGAATATCGCCTTATGTTTTTACGCTCTCTTGCCAAGATCAGGCTAGTATACTCCAACCAAACCGAACTGTATTTTCTTTCATGTGGGGAGGGGGGGGCTAAGGGAAGGGGGTATTCCTGGGGCTTGAACTCAGGGCCTAGGTGCTATCCCTTGGCTTTTTGTGCTCAACCACTTGAGCCACAATTCTGGTTCCAGCTTTTGGGTGGTTAATTGAAGAGTTTCACAGACTTTCCTGCCTGGGCTGATTTGGAACCGTGAACCGTAATCCTCAATTCTCAGCCTCCTGAGTAGTTAGGATTGCAAGGCGTGAGCCACCGGCGCCGGTCTGAGGTATGTTTTCTTACCTCAGGTAGGCGATCCTCCAGCAAACAGACTTCAAGGGTCAGCTCAGATGCACCTGACGGGCCGGCCCCTCCCACTCCCGCCTCTGAATCTGATGAGCCTCTCCTTGCGTGGCAGATCCCGTTCTGATTGACGAACTACCGCGAGAAGGACGAGACAGTGGCAGAAGGGCCTAGGAAGCCTAGGCGATCGTGGTTGCCTCAGGAGCTTCCGATCCCACAGGGCCGGGCCCCAACTGCGCAGGGCAGGAGCTGCTTCCAGTCGCGTCCGGCTCCCATCCACCCCTGCGGCCCCACGGCATGCTGGGATCCCCCAGTGTGTGACCGCGGCCAGCTGCCCCTACGAGGCCGCTGCAGCCTGCTGTGAGACCTGATCAGGTCCTGCCATTCCACAGAGAAAACACAGTCCCTGCTGCACTTACCGGCTCCGGTGGTGATGAAACCGCCCACACCGCATCACATCGGACTCCCGCCGCCTCCTTTCAACTACGGCGCACTGCGAAAGGTGGGCGGCGGCGGCACCAACCCCCTCCAAACCCCGCGGATTGCGCGCCTCCGCGAACAAACGCAAAGGCGGGCTGATGCCGCGTCTCTGATTGGCTGGCCTCGGGGGTGGGCCCGCCTCTATCGGTGACGCAGAGGGCCCGGGGGAAAGCTCACTGTGGCCGGCAGGGATTGGCGGAAGGAGCCTGTACTTTAGCCCTTCTCCCTGACGTTGTTGGGCGGGGAAGAAAAAAAACTGGGCTGCCGCGAAGTTGCAACTCGTGATTGGTGAGCGCGCGGCGCTCGGGCTCTCGCGATTGGTGGCTGTCCGACTTCGCGGCGCTGATTGGACGGCAGCAGGCAGCGGGCCGCCCCCTGGCCCAGGCATACTGGCGGAAGAGGAAGTGGGGGGGTGGGAGGAGGCAGCCGGCGGTGGGAAGATGGCGTACCAGAGTCTCCGCCTGGAGTACCTGCAGATCCCACCAGTCAGCCGAGCGTACACCACTGCTTGCGTTCTCACTACCGCCGCTGTGGTGAGCAGTTACAGTACCCCGTTCTTATTTTCCGGGGTGGAAGTGACTGGGTCTTCAGGAAACTAGGGGTTGGGCCTCGGAGACGCCCAGAGGGTCCAGTCCCAGGGGTGGGTGGAGACTGCCTGGACTACCTCTAGGGTTCGGGATAGCTCCAGGAGTGCCAATCGGGTGACCTTAGTTGTGAGTGCTGCTCTGTGGGGAGAAGGGAAGATCAATTTCTGAAATGAAATCCGGACAGATAACGGGCCAGGGCTGCGGGAGCCGCCCACCTAAGAAACGTGTTCGAGAACTCTTGCTGCACCCAGATGGTCCAGTGGCGAGTGTGAGAGCAAGATGGGCTAAGTGAAGAAACAGGTGTTGGGAGCAAAATCTGGAAATTGGCTAGAGGGAAACACTTTAGAATAACAGGATCTGTGAGTAAAGAAACTCGGGCCTCACTTATCCCTAGTGGTGGCAAGGTCTCCCATCTTTTTTATTTCAAGTGACTTGTGTTATTTCACGGGCCTAAAGTTGGTACCCTCGTGATGGGCAGATTCGTAGCAGCTGCTGCTTCTCATCTTGTATCTAAACTGTCACCACCTATCTGCCTTGATATCTTTAGGTATTGCAGCATAAGAACTTTTACATTGCTGTTATACTGTGTTAAGATATTGAAGATACAAAGGATGGTACCAATTCTAAAGAATTCTTTTTTTGGCAGTCCTGGGGCTTGAACTCAGGGCCTGGGCACTGCCCCTGAGCTTTTTTTTTTTGCTCAAAGCTAGCACTGTACCACTTGGGCCACAGCGCCACTTCTGGCTTTTCCTGTTTATTTGGTATTGAGGAATCGAACCCAGGGCTTCATGAATGCTAGGCAAGCACTCTATATCACTAAGCCACATTCCCAGCCCCTAGAGAATTTTTGTTGTTGTTGTTACTGTGTTGTTTGTTTTTTGCCGATCCTGGGGCTTGAACTCAGGGCCTGGGCTCTGTCCCTGAGCCCTCTCTGCACTCATTCGGTGCTTTACCACTTAAGCCACATCCCCTTTCAGCTTTTTCTGTTTATGTGGTACTAAGGAATTGAACCCTGGTCTTCATGCATGCTAGGTAAGCACTCTACACAAAGCCACATTCCTAGTTCCCTAGAGAATTCTTTACCAACCTCTTTCTATGGCCTAAGAAGAAAAGTTTCAAGGAAATTAGTTCTTTTTTTTTTTTTTTTTTTGGGTCCAGTTGTAAGGCCTGAACTCTGGGCCTGGGTGCTGTCCCTCAGTTCTTCAGCTCAAGGCTAGCGCTCTACCACTTGAGCCACAGCGCCACTTCCAGCTTTTTTTTCTTTTTGCTTATGTGGTGCTGAGGAATGGAAGCCAGGGCCTCAGGCATGCAAAGCAAGCGCTCTACCACTGAGCCACCTTCCCAGCCCTCAAGGAAATTAGTTCTAAGTGACAGAGTTGGGAATTACTAGATCTACTAATCCTGTACTGTAATGCTGAAATTTTGTCTTTTAATTGATCCGCTTAAAGAAGGTGTTTTTCTATTTCAGCAGTTGGAATTGATCACACCTTTTCAGTTGTACTTCAATCCTGAATTAATTTTTAAACACTTTCAAGTAAGTAGTCAGTGGCAATTATGGTTTTTTCCCCCCATTTCTTTTTCTTACTGCTTGGTACCAAATTCTCCAATATTCTAACTCCTAAAAAACCCAGTGGGGACCTTCAATTATATTGAGCTGCAGAGTGGTGAGTCTGAAGTTTGCTTGGCTTCAGAATCATTTCCAGAACTTGTAAGAGTTTCTTAAGCTCGCTATCATGTATCAAATCAGAATTGCTAAGGGTAGGAATTTAAAACTCATAAAGTTCTCTGGACAAAAAAAAAAAATGTTTAGTTCCTATATTTGAGTATCACTAGCTCCATGTGGCTTTAATCCCAGCACATGCAGAAGGTTCAAAAGTTTGAGATTAGCCTTGCCTACTTAGTATGACACTATCTGAAAAATAAACAATAAACAATAAAAAATAGAGTTATTGTGGCTTGTGAGAAGACTGACCAGCTAGCTTCCCTAGGGAAGGGCTCACAGTTCGACCTTATTTGTGACTAATCATCATGGTTGAGTTTAATAAACTCAATTGAGACAATACTTTTAAATTGATCCATCATCTTTCTTAGAGAGCAGATTATACTTGCACAGTCTGAATGATCAATAACTGAAACAAAATGCTGGTTATTAGATTATATACTATGAGATACTTTTTCAGTGATGAAAATTCTAAGAAGGCATAGTTACACCAAGTGAAGGAGAGACTGGGAAAGCCAATAATTCTTTCCCTACACATGCTGTTTTCTCTGTCTCAAATGTATTATATTCACTTTATGCCCTCTGAATTCTAGCTTGCCTTTCAAGATGTAGTTTTATGTGGCCTTGGATTCATAGTCTGTTGTTTAAGAGCATCTCTTATCCTTATTGCAGTTTTTCATATGTTCTCTCCTTACTAGAGTGAGGATTACGCTTGGCTGCAGTTAATATGTAGCTGTTCCTATTTTAATAGTTACCAGTTCTGTGGAAATTAATGTCCCACGAAAAAATCCTCTAGTCTCTCTCTGGTCATAGCCTCCTCCATTTAGCATGCTTGCTCTGCTTCCAGAGGACTTGCTTGGATTGACTTTGCCTGAGGTTAAATGCATCTGAATTTGGATTTAGCATCTAGATTTACCTCTGTGTCCACCCACTAGCTGCATGTCCTCCAGCAATCTATTTTAAATTACCTAACTCTTCTATTTTCCTTATCTGTGAACTGGTTTGCCTCCTGACTTTATTAAGGTCCTGTGATCCCAGCACTCAGTTGCTAAGGCAGTAGTTAACAAGTTTGAGGCCAGTTTGTGCTAGGACTCAAAAACACTAGACAAGATCAGATGAAAGAGTAGGCAAACTAAGCACTTGAAAATGTTAAAGGCTCCGCCTTTTGGGAGGGATGATTATGCTGAGCATGAATAGGTTGAGTAGGTATAAGAATATGTCAGGGGCTGGGAAGGTGGCTCAGTGGTAGAGCGCTTGCCTTGCATGCATGAGGCCCTGGGTTCGATTCCTCAGCACCACATAAGCAAAAAGAAAAAAGCCGGAAGTGGCACTGTGGCTAAAGTGGTAGAGCACTAGCCTTGAGCTGAAGAGCTGAGGGATAGCACCCAAACCCAGAGTTCAAGCCCCATGACCAACAAAAAAAAAGTGTGTGTCAGGATTTCCAGTATGAAACTAAATGTCCTTATGTCTCCTAATTAGAGTGTTAGTTCTTGTAGGGAATTGATTGTGTGTTCTGACTACAACTTAATTTTTTATCCTTCTGAATATTTCTGTGTAATGTAGAAAAATCTCTTGGCAATTACACATATGAGGTCCCTGGAATTATATGAGCTCTTTGTTAGCTTATGGTAGTCCCCAGAGGAAAGCACTCTCTGTTCTGCAAATTAACCTGATTTTTCCTTTAAACTTTTCCCATAATTTGCTCAAATATATGGGATGAATTATTTTATTTTATTTTATTTCTTTATTTATCTATCTATCTTTGCCGGTTGTGGGGCCTGAACTCTGGGCCTGGGCACTGTCCCTCAGCTTTTCAGCTCAAGGCAAGCGCTCTACCACTTAAGCCACAATGCCACTTCCGGCTTTTTCAGCTTATGTGGTGCTAAGGAATGAAACCCAGGGCCTCATGCATGCAAGGCAAGCACTCTTACCACTGAGTCACATTCCTAACCCGTGCACGCGCGCACGCGTGTGTGTGTGTGTGTGTGTGTGTATGTGTGTGTGTATGTTTTAAGGATAGTCACAATTGCAAATTTTCTAGAAACTTCACATTTTAGTCTTTCAGTCTTTCAACTAGAAGCAGCCCAGACAGAGTTCCAATATCAGATTGTGTGTTTTAGGTTCCAACAGAACATCCATCACCCTGTCTATGGCCTTTGAACCATTATTGTCATGGTATGTCTTTTGTCTTAATGTGAAAGTATTTTCTAGTAACACATTTTACTTAATCCATTTTCTCTTAATTTCTTCTCTCTATAGATATGGAGGTTAATCACCAATTTCTTATTTTTTGGGCCAGTTGGATTCAATTTTTTATTTAACATGATTTTTCTGTATCCTTTATTAAGTGGGTTTCAACATCAAAACCTTAGGTTCACTTAAGAAACACAGTAAGTGAAACTATTGATCTTGTTTACTTTTTTATACCATTGTAACTATAACTTGGTACATAGAAAAATGAATCAGCCTAGTAATGTTTTGAATTGTTACCAACTATATTGCTAGGGTCTAATTTGTGACAAGATGTCATTACTGGGTTTTTTTGTTGTTGTTTGTCGGTAGTTGGTTTGAACTGTGGGCTTGGATGCTGGGCCTGAGCTCTTCAGCTCAAAGCAAGCACCCTATCACTTGAGCCACAGTGCCACTTCCAGTATTCTGGTGGTTAATTGGAGATAAGAGTCTCAGGACTTTCCTGCCTGGACTGGCTTTGAACAGCAATCCTCAGATCTCATCCTCCTGAGTAGCTAGGATTACAGGTATGAGCCACCTGTGCCTGGCTTCATTACTGTTCTTAAGTTGCTTACAGATCTAATCAAGAGGAAAGATGTGATTTAATGACCAAAATGTTGCTGAGGGTTTGGGAATGGTTCTTAAGAAACTTGAGATCTCTCATGCTGGTTCTGTTGGCTGAAAAGAAGTACCATACTGCCTGCCAGGCTTGCCCTGTTTTCAGTTTTTGAAAGATGGGAAGAGCTGTGCTCTGGAAAGGTGGTAATTAGGACCCCTGAGCTGGGCATTTGTTCCCACCTTCTGGATAAGAGGGGAGTTGCAGTTCTGCTCATCTGCAGTGGGCAGAGGACCATTGGGTGCTGGGATTCCTGCTCCAGCATGAACGCCCTTGTCTGCTACTAAACTTCATTTTGGTAAGTTTCTTAGTTTTTTTCATTACAACACAACCTTATTGACAAGTATAGATAAGGGTACTCATCGAAGTTTGAAAAGATAGCTGATCACCCCAAGATGGGACGGAGTAGTAAAGGTGGGGCAGATTAAGGCGTGGTTGAGCTTAGAGAAGACAGTTCTACAAATTTGAGAAAAGGTTTTATTGGAGACATGTTTATACGGCATCTGAATTAGTTTCCCAGCTAAGTCTTTGTAAAACCTGGTGGTACTCTTGGTTTGCCTTTTTTTTTTAAAGGTAGCTGGGGACCAGTGCCTGTAATCCTAACTACTCTAGAGGTTGAGACGTGAGAATCACTGTTTGAAGCCAGCCAGCCTGGGCTGGGAAATCAGACTCTTAACTCCACTTAACTACCAAAAAGCCAGAAGTTGAGGAGTGGCTCAAGTGGTCGAGTGTTCAGCCTTGAGCAGAAAGAGAGCTGAGGGATAGTGCCTTAGCCCTGAGTTCAAGCCCCAAGACTACTGACACCAAAAAAAGGAATATTTCCACTTAAACATTCTTACAGAAGTGAAGATTTTTGACTGTTTTACAGATAATGGATCCAAATGTAATTAAGTGCTGAATTTAAAATTTTACTTCCTGTTTGTGTGTATGACATTTTCTTAACTTGGAACTTAAGATATCGTTACTGTCGTATGCTAGAAGAAGGTTCTTTCCGAGGTCGGACTGCAGACTTTGTATTTATGTTCCTTTTTGGTGGATTCTTAATGACCGTATCCTTCAACAAGTAGAACATAGGAAAATGTTAGTGAACAGCCTGTCTCTTCTGAAAGCTATATACTTATCTCCCATGTTTCACTGAATTCTGAACGGGTCAAGTCTAGATTTTCAGCTTCAGGGCACTAGCAATTATTTTACAGCACAATTTCTGCAATAGCTTACCAAGCTTACATTTTGTACAGGATGCTTTACTACTGTGAGCAAAGCAGAGGAACATTTAACCCAGGTGGGTTACTGTGAAGTATCCTGGTTATATCATTGCTGAAGGGTATACTTCACCTTTTTGTTTGTTTTTTTTGGTCCGGTCGTGGGACCTGTACTCTGGGCCTGGGCGCTGTCCCTCAGCTCTTCAGCTCAAGGCTACCGCTCTACCTCTTGAGCCACAGCGCCACTTCCGGCTTTTTTCTTTTTGCTTATATGGTGCTGAGGAATCGAACCCAGGGTCTCATGCATGCAAGGCAAGCGCTCTACCACTGAGCCACCTTCACAGCCCCCTTTTCTTTTCTTTTCTTTTCTTTTTTTTGGCTATGTTGGGGTTACAACCCTGGACCTGGTATATGCTAGATAAGTGATCTACCACCGAGCTACATCTCCAGCCTTTTTACTTTTAAAGTAAGTTGCCAAACTTCTATTTAGTCGTTATCAAATCTGTTTAAAAAAAAAAAAAACTGGGCCCTGTGGCACGTGCCTTTTATTTTAGCTACTGTGGAGGCTGAGATTTGAGGATTATGGTGTGAAGTTCAAAGTTCAAATCCAATACTGAGCAAAAAAAGTCTGTGATACTGTTATCTCCAATTAACTAGCAAAATAAATAAATAAAAAGCTAAAAGTGAAGGTGAGGCTCAAGTAGTAGAGTGTCAGTCTTGAGTGAGAAAGTGGATGAGAGTGCCAGCTCTTGAGTTCAAGCCCCAATACTGGCACACACACAAAAAAAACTCCAAAAACTACTAGGGTTATTTATTAAAAGAAATGAATTTTGGTCAAGTGCTGGTGGCTCACACCTCTAATCCTAGATACTCAGGCCTGAGATCTGAGGATTGCCATTCATAGGTTAAAGTAGCTATAGTCCAGAAGATTAATCCCAAGCCCAATTTTGCCTAATTGCTCTGGGTAATTATTCTGTCTTTCTCCTATTCCCAAAATGTAGCTACTTGATTTTTCCAATTCAAACTTTAGTTGCAATACAATATTTAGTTGCCTTGTTCAGCCTTCCTTATACATGTTTATGTTGATATTTTCCTTAATGCTGTGTGCTAGCTTTTTGGTTTATTTGTGAGCTTAGTTTTTTTAGGTCAGGCCTTTACAATAATGCTGGTTTATGTGTGGAGCAGAAGGAACCCGTATGTCCGTATGAACTTTTTTGGCCTTCTCAACTTCCAGGCCCCCTTTCTGCCCTGGGTGCTCATGGGGTTCTCCTTGTTATTGGGGAACTCAATCATTGTGGACCTCTTGGGTAAGAGTCTTATCACTACTTTGGTTACTAATTCATCTGTAAATGTACTTCATCTTTTTTTTATATTAATTCTGTCTGGCCTTTATGTGTAATGTAAGATTATTTGACGCTTGTGTATCAAGGACTATAATTTTACTTTAATGTAAGTATCTTAATGTTTAATTAAAATGTTTATAATTTTTTATATGAGTACACCTATGAATATGAGATGAAACATTTTAGATGATTACACTAACATCTTAAAAATGCTATATGTTAGACGGTTCACATGCAGTAAAACATTAGTCCTCTCATCCTTTGTTTCTGATTGACTCTAGGTATTGCAGTTGGACACATATATTTTTTCTTGGAAGATGTATTTCCCAACCAACCTGGTGGAATAAGAATTCTCAAAACACCGTCTATTTTGTAAGTGTTTAACCCATGTTTTGTGTTTGTAGACAGAAACAAGGACAGAATGCATAATCAAGGTTTTCTTGGGGCTCCCATCATTTTTGGTACACATAATTCAGATCAGTAAATATTTGCAGATTGAGTAATCTAGCTGCAGCTGAAGAGTACTTGGATTGGCTAGAGGCAGACGGTGTCAGCATCACAGCTCAGGATATCATAGGGGTTACTTGGTAATTATTGTCTCAAATGCCTACTAGAACTTCCTATTCTAGAGAGTTGACTGCAGGTTTTATGAAAGCTGTTGTCCAAGTTTAGAGAGGTAAGATAGCAAAATGGACAGCATGGATGAGGAAAGCTTTCTGATGGTGGGATTTCTGACCTGCAAAGCAGGGGGTCAAGGTAAGCAATGAAATTGAATAAGAAATAGCTTTGCATTGGAAACCAGATGTGGCTGCTGCAGTGACTAGTATGGTTGTAAGCAAGTACCAACTCCTTGTTTGTAGTTTAGTTCCTTGAATAGTGCTTTGATTTCTGAGACCTCTTTGTGCTCCAGAATTTTGTGTTCTCAGAAAGTACTACATGAAAAAAGGCTCAATTGAGGGAGAAAAATAAGTTGTTATACAATATTTGTGGTAGAATAGTTAAGCAAAAAAGAGGAAGTAACTGGACATACATGCCAGTGTTTTAAGACTGCAATAGGATTGAGAATTTAATGCCAGCCTGAGAAACATACCAAGACTTCATCTCTTGTCTGGCTATTTTTTTTTTTTTTTTTTTAATTTTTTGTTTTATTTTGTTAGTCATGGAGCCTGAACTCTGGTCCTGGACGCTGTCCTTCAGCTCTTCAGCTCAAGGCTAGCGCTCTACCACATGAGCCACAACGCCATTTTCAGCTTTTTTTTTCAGCTTATGTGGTGCTGAGGAATTGAACCCAGGGCCTCATGCATGCAAGGCAAGCACTCTACCACTGAGCCACCTTCCCAGCCCAAGACCATCTCAAAAAATATTTTTTCAAAAAATATTTTTTAATTAAAAACATGTGGAAAGGAAAATAGAAAGATATTTATAATCCCATTACTTAGACATATTAGAAAATAACCTCATTCACGTTTTTTTTTTTTTTCCCTATTTCTTTTTTTTTTGCCAATCCTGGGGTTTGAATTCAGTGTCTGGGTGCTGAGCCTCTTTGTGTCCAAAGCTAGCGCTGTACCACTTGAGCCTCAGTGCCACCCACTTCTGGCTTTTTCTGTGTAGTTTATTGGAGGTTCAAAGCCAGCTCTGGCAGGAAAGTCTGTGAGACTTTCTCCAATTATCTCCTATCTCCAATTATCCACCAGAAAACCAGAAGTGGTTCAAGTGATATAGAGTGCTCACTAGCTGAAGAGCTCAGGGACACCCCAGGCCAAGTTCAAGCCCTATGACCGGAAAAAAAAAAAAAAAGAACTTTATGTACTATAATTTTGCTTTAAATTGCAAAGAATCTATTTCAGACCCAGTTGTTGTCTTTGGTTTTTGTGTTTATTCAGTCTTTCTCTCTCTCTCTCTCTCTCTCTCTCTCTCTCTCTCTCTCTCTTTTGCCAAACCTGGGGCTTGAATTCGGCCTGGGCACTGTCCCTGAGCCTCTCTGTGCTCAAGGCTAGCACTCTACTACTTGAGTCACAGCTTTTTCTGTTTATGTGGTGCTGAGAAATTGAACCCAGGGCCTCATGCATACGAGCAAGCACTCTGCCATTGAGCTACATTCCCAGCCCCTCTTCAGTCTTCCTCTTTAGAACAGTTCCTTATTCTCTCCTTAGGATTGTAGACACATTTTGTTAAACGCCTCTCCGTTTGGGTTTATCTAATGTTCCCTCATGTCTTTAAAGGCAGTAATGTCAGGGAAATGATTCTCTGAATCAATTATTCTCATGGAAGTTTGTCAGATTGGTGGTTAATCATTAAAGGTTTAGGTGTCTGCCAGGCTTCTCCACTTTGCTTATTTGTGGTGAAGTATTTTGTGGGAATGTATTTTCAAACTATACTCTTCCCTTATCACATTTTAGTTCATTTCTCCATACTTGTATGAATTCATGGCTTCATGTTTATTCATGGATTATAATCCCTAATTGTGTTTTGAGGTTTTGTTGTCCTAGATTTGGCTTTTAAGTCCTTTCAGCATGTCCCTATCATCAACATTTTTTAAGCAATTTATAACTTTCTAGTCCAGTGAGATATCCCAGGTTCTACTTGACCTAGTCCTAGAGTCAGCTGTTTCTTGAAGGAGCTTTGGTTCTGTTTTAGTACAGAAATAAATTTAGAAGTCAAATTTGAGTACTAAATATGATGGTTGCTATTGGAGTGTTACTGTTCCTATATCTTAGTGAACAGAGTAATGGAATTACATTGTTTAGAGGGATGTTTACTCACACATTCCGTTCCATATTTTGTGTGTGTGTGTGTGTGTGTGTGTGTGTGTGGTTTGGTTTGGTTTTCTGGTTCTGTGACTTGAACTTAGGGCCTAGGGGCTGTTTCTGAGCTAATACTTTACCACTTGACTTAGCTCCACTTCCAGCTTTTTGTTTAGTTGGAGACAAGAGTCTCATGGATTTTCTACCTGGGCTGGCTTCTAACTGCGATCCTCAAATCTAAGTAGATAGAATTTAGGTATGAACCACTGGCACTCACCTTAAATCTGCGCGCGCGCGTGTGTGTGTGTACTCATATATTACCAGTTCTTACAAAACCCAACACAGTTCATTCGATTTTTTATACTTTCTCTATGTTTTTCTCTAATGTTTTACTATGAAAGTTTCCACATAGAGTAAATGAAAAGAGTACAGAAAAAGTTGTACGGGGCACATGAATTCCCCACTACATAAATTCTACAATGAATATTTTATGGTTTCTGCTTATTGTACACCTGTCCGTATATCCAGCTTCCCAACCCAGTATACTTAGTTTCCTGAATACTTTGGCAAGTTTATCATTAGCCATAGCTCATATTTATTTATACAATAAAATATACAAATTCTAAGTACATTATGCATACAGTTTTGTAACCCAAACTATCAAAATGAAGATTACCATCAACCAAAAGCTTCCCTAATATCCCTTCTGTCATTCTTTGCCACTATGTTTAAGAAACAATCACCGTTTTGGTTTTATTCCTCCATGGATTAATTTATTTTTTGTTTTTATGTCTTGTGATGGTCCTGGTACTTGAACCAGGGCACAGTCCCTGAACTGCTTCACAGCTAACACTACCACTTTTAGCTACTTTTAGTGGTTTGTCGGAGATAAGAGTCTCTTAGACTTTCCTACTGGTTTCAAACTGAGATCCTTAGATCTCAGCCTCCTCAGCAGCTGGGATTGCTGGCATGATTCATCAATTTCCAGCTTTTTTTGTGTGTGTGTATATCAGTTAAAATATGCCACTTGAATTCATGGGGAGCTCTTGCTCAACTGGTGTTCACAGCTGGTATTCTACTACTTGAGTCAGGCCTTCAGTCTTACCATTTTGCTGGCTAATTGAAGACAGAATCTCTAGGACTCTCTAGGACTTTTCTGCCCAGGCTAACTTTGATTAGTTTTATATATTGTACATTTCATGAGTGGAATCATGTAGAACACAGTTGCTCTTTTATGTGTCGTCTTTGACTCAACATGTTTTTTAAGTTGATCAGTGATGGTAGGCCTATCAGTTATTTGTTCCTTTTTATTACTGGGTAGTATTCTGTTGTAGGAATAGAGGATCTCTACCCTGATTCTTACAATCATTAATATGCTGTTTACCCTCTTTTATAACCAGACTCTTATTGTTTCATCCACCTCCAGTAGTTTGTCTTTCTTCTTATGGGTCCATAAATTCCCCAAGTCAGTATGCATTCTTTTCTGACTGATCAGGCCATCTCTGTATGCATCACCCATTTGGGCTTTTGACTCTGTTCTATTAGCCTGCTTCTCCCAGCTTCTTTCTGTTCTTGGATCACTTTGGCTTCTCTCCCCACATGGACATTTTCATTGTTCTGCTCAACCTGGTGATGTAGAAATGATTCAAATTTGTTTGGGTTTTTTGTTTTTTAGTTTTTTTGGGTCCAGTCGTGGGGCCTGAATTCTGGGCCTGGGTGTTGTCCCTCAGCTTTTCAGCTCAAGGCTAGCACTCTACCACTAAGCCACCTTCCCAGCTCTGTATTTTTAAGTTTAGCAAGGATTTCTTTAGCAAATCAGAGTAAAGTAGGGAGAAATAGAGAAGGTAGATAAGAGCAAAGAAGCTTTGCAGTGTCTGTTTTAAGTATACTTTTATTACTGTGGATAGAGCAAACATTTTTACATTCATCAATAACAGTGCTTTGCTGTTTCTTCTTGGCTTTTGCTTGGTTTTGTTGTTGTTACACTTCTTTCTTCTTCCTCCTCCTCTTTTTCCTCCTTTTCTTCCTTATTCTTCCTATTCTTCCTAGTCCTGGGGCTTGAACTCAGGGCTTGGACACTGTCCTTGAGCTTCTTTTGCTCAAGGCTAGCACTCTACCACTTGAGCCACAGAGCCACTTCTGGCTTTTTCTGTTTATGTGATATTGAGGAATCGAACCCAGGGCTTTCATGCATGCTAGTCAATCATTATACCACTAAGCCACATTCCCAGCCTCTATTATTACATTTTTTTTTCTTTTCTTTTCTTTTTCTTCCCCCCAGTTGTGGGGCTTGAACTCAGGGTCTGAGTGCTGTCCCTGAGCCTCTGTGCTCAATACTAGCACTCTACCTCATTAGTCACAGTACCGGCTTCCCTATTGTTACATTTCTTTTTTTTTTTGGTCAGTAGTGGGGCTTGAACTCTGGGCCTGGGCGCTGTCCCTCAGCTCTTCAGCTCAAGGCGAGCGCTCTGCCACTTGAGCTACAGCGCCACTTCCGGTTTTCTGGTGGTTTATTGGAGATAGGAGTCTCATGGTCTGTCCTGCCCGGGCTGGCTTTGAACCGCAATCCTCAGATCTCAGCCTCCTGAGTAGCTAGGATTACAGGCGTGAGCCACCAGCACCCGGCTCCTATTGTTACATTTCTAAGCTTCTGAGCTCTAGGCAAGTATCATTAGACACATGAGCTGCTTTATGGTTCATTTTTTTACTGCAACTTTGAATCAATATATATATAATGGCATTTAAAAAGTCTTTTGGAAGCTGGGTGCTGGTGGCTCACTCCTGTAATCAGCTACTCAGGAGGCTGAGATCTGAGGATCGCGGTTTAAAGCCAGCAAGAGCAAGAAAGTCTGTGAGACTCTTGAATTAACCATGAGAATACTGGAAGTGGTGCTGTGGCTCAAGTGGTAGAAAGCTAGCCTTGAGCTGAAGAGCTGAGGGACAGTGCTCAGGTCCAGAGTTTGAGCCTCAGGACCAACAAAAAAAATGAATAAAGTCTTTTGGATATTTACTATCTCTTCCTATGTCCTGCAGTAGTTTTTGTTTTTTTTTTTAAACACCTGTGATATTTTTTAAAATTTTAATTATGATATCTAACGGTTTATCTTCTTTGTCCCTACCCCTTTTATGTGCCAGTCCGTCCTGGGACTTGAATTCAGAACCAGGGTGGGCATTGTCCCTGTAATTTTTGTTCAAGGCTAGTGCCCTACTACTCAAGCCACAGTCCTGCTTCTTGCTTTTTGCTGGTTAAGTGGAGATGAATCTCAGGGGTTTCCCTGCCTGGCTTAGCTTTCAACCAGTCTTAAGTCCCTAGCCTCCTGAGTATCTGGTATTGCAGACATGAGCCACTGGCACTGGGAAGCCCCTTTTAAATGCACAATTCAGTGGTATTAAGTATTACCATTGCCACCTTCCATAGAACTCTTATCTTGCAAACCTAAAACTGTATGCATACAAAAACCTCCTATTCTCCAGTCCCAGCAGCCTCCATTCTATTTCTGACTCTATGACTTTGAGCACTCTAGCACTCACATGAGATACCTCATATAAGGAAAAACCTATTGATTTATTTACTTATTTATTTGGCCAGTCCTAGGACTGCCTGAGGTGGTGTTTATGTTTTTGTTTTGCTGTTGCTTTGTTTTGCTTGTGGTTTCATTTTGTTTCTGCTGGTGGATTTTCCTGCTAGCGTTTGCTTTGAACTCCCATCCTCATATTTCAGCCTCCAGAGTAGGTAGGATTACAGTTATAAGCCACTAGCACTCAGCAGGAGAGTCAGTTTTGACTGTTTCGTTTCATGCAGCATAATGTTCCTGAGGTTTGTGCATGTGATAGCAATGTGCCAGAATAGCCTGTGTGTATTCATACATGTGTTTGCAGACACCAGGAAATGAAACAAGGACTCTATATAACTAAGCACAGGCTCTACCACTATGCTGTGCCCCCAGCTCTTTCCCTTTTTAAGGCTGATTTCCATGTGTGTGTGTGTGTGTGTGTGCGCGCGCGCGTGCACACGCTTCTGTCTGTCTCTGCTCTTTCTTCATCTATTAATGAACAATTAATGAACTTTCCTTATAAGGGGACATCGTGATAGATGCTAAAAAAGCAAAAAGAATGTAGCCTAACTTTTGGAATGTAACCTAATTATGTATTATTGAAAAATAAGACATTTACAAAAAATAACTGAGGATTTAGAATATTTTACCCAGTATTTCCATTCTCTACAATTACATGAATTATGTGTGTGTGTGGTGTTACTGGGACTTGAACTTAGAACCTTTCTCTCTTGCTCTTGGCTGGTGCTTTACCATTCTAACCATGCTTCAGTTAATTAGAGATGGAGTTTCAAGGACTTTTTCTACTTGATCTGGCCATGGAACCAATATCCTCAAATCTGAGCCTCCTAAGTAGCTAGGATTAAAGATGTGAGCCACCAGCATCTAGTCATATATTGATTTTTTTTGGGGGCGGGGGCGGGGGTAGTAATGTGGAACCAGTTTTTGGGCTTGAACTTGGGCTTGAACAGTGCCCTGGGCACTGTCCCTGATAGTTATTTTGCTCAAGTCTAGGACTCTATCACCACTCTACAGCTCCACTTCAATATTTGATGGTTAATAGGAGATAAAAAGTCTCATGGACTTTTCTGCCCGTTCTGGCTTTGAACTGCAGTCCTCTTAGCCTCCTAAGTAGCTAGGATTACAGGTGTGAGCCATAGGTGCCTTGCTCATGTATTGCTTTTGTGGAGAAAATTGATAAAGGAGATAAAGTAACTTACATAATCCTGGGTACCTTCAATATACCATAACTAATGGCAGGCAGACATAATGCTTGTCAATTAGTGAAACCCTGTGGGAATAAAATGGACTTGTAGTATTTTCAGACCTAAGCAAACTCTGACAAAATGATATCTGTGCCCTGTCTTTTAGGAGGACTATTTTTGATACTCCAGATGATGATCCAAATTACAATCCACTACCTGAAGATAGGCCAGGAGGCTTCGCCTGGGGTGAGGGCCAGCGCCTCGGAGGTTAAAGCAGCAACGTGCCATTAATGAGACCCAGCTGAGAAGGACTCAGTGAAATACTCATTGGGATTCTCTTATCCTTTGTTGCAAAAGTGTGGACACTTTTGTCAGCTCGACAGATTTTAACTCCAGAAGCACTTTATGAAGTGGTACACTGACTTTTCCAGAAGACATTTCCAGCAGTTTGCCATTGGTTCTTTACTGGTACTGAAAGTGTAATCTCTTGGAGCCAAAAAACTGGAGAAACAGATACCCTGCCGCCTCTAACAAGTACATAAGTACTTGAATTCTATGGCATAAGGCAGGGCTTTTTCTTCCTCTTCTTCTTTGACTGATGAGGCCATGGTGTAAATGGAAGTTTCGGAGAGGATAAAATAAAACTAATTCCATCTCTCTCTCACTGTATTAAAGCTTTTGTGTGTGATCTTTTAAATTATGATATTGTAGTCTAGCTCTCCTGCAAAGGTCTGAGCCCAGAGCAGTTTATATGCCTGTTCTTCCTGTATCTTCACACTCTTTGGTTAGATTTTGTTTAAGATTGGGAATATGTGGCTGTTATGCTGTTTGTCATCTTACTAATTCATAATACCAGCTTCAGTAGGAAGAAGATTGATTGTTGTCATTCAGGTAGCTTGTTCTCCATGTTGGAATTGCAAAACTTTGGTTGTCAGACCATAAGGTAAAAAAGAGAAGGAGAGCAGTTCTCGTAGCAGCAGAAATTCAACTATATGCAAAAAAGTGAATGTGGCCTCTTGCCACACATTTGCCTGCACTGCTCCGTGAAGAATATCCACTGAAAATAGAAACATTTTGGGAAAACTTGAGGAAGGTGAATCAGTAGTAGGCATGTGTTCCTCCTGGGGCTTTGGCTAGCTAACCGTTGTCATTTGCTGCATGAAAAGCTGAAAATTTTTTCTGGGCCAACTCCTTGCTCTTTCAAATCTGATAGAAATTAGGGTTCACAGGAGTAGGTACTAAATGCCTATGGCTCAGTAAATACTCATCCAAATAGTCTTCCCTAGGTCTTAGTGGTTTTACATTCACACTGCTTAGTCAGAACCCAGAAGGGTAAAAAGCACCCCAGGAAAGAAATGATCTAGGATGGTTTTCATAAACAGCCTGTAGACACAGACTTTTTCTGAAACTGGGTAGTCTTTGTTCTCTCTTGGTTCACAGACAGTATCTTTCCAGAGGTTTTTCCTCAAAGATTGACAAAGGTTTAGATTAGCTATAATACACATCTTTAGGTGGGAATTTTCAGATTGTTTTTGAAGTGAAAGTATTTTGTCTAAATGGAATATGCATAAGTAATGGAATTTAGTAGACATAATTTACATGTAAGTGTTTGAATATGATGATTATTGCAATTTTATGGAACTTGGGTCATGAAACTGATTTTTCCTAAGCAGTTAAAAAATCATTATAGAGCTTAAATGCCAATCTTAGGTTGTATAATCCTTATGGGATTTGTAAATCTGATGTGTTTGTTTTTAAGAAAATTTTATCAGTGACTTCTAGGAATTTTTACAAATTGTTTGCTTTTGAGCTGAAAGTAAGTTATTCTAGTTTCATTTGTTCTCCCTGAGTTAATTTTAGGTTAACCATTTAAAGGGATTTTTTTATGGTAAAATTTTATTCTTTTACTGTGTTCATTTAAGTAGGAAATTTCTATACATATTAAAAGTTGGGTAAAAAAGAAACACATTCTGAATGTACAGCCTAGCAAGGGGGGATGGGAGTGGATAACAACTGGTCCACGGGCTGTGGAAGGCTGGAGAAATCAATCATTCAGTGTATGATGGGACAGACACTCCTCTTAATGCCTCTCTTTAGCTGTCCTCACCCATCTGCTGATACTGATAATTGTATATGGCCCATGAATGATGTTATAAATATCCAAATGGCCCTTGGCAAAAAACAAAAACAAACAAACAAACCCAGCTGTCAACTGTAGGTTTCTCTGAATTTATAGGATGTAAGTTACTAGTGACAGGATTCCAGACCGTGCTATTACACTGTGTCCTGGGCAGTGGTGGGTTTCATCACTGACCTCTTATTTGGGCCTGTCCCATAACCACATTGCTTTTCCTGTGTTGCTTTACAGGGCCCAGTGCTTACCTGGACCTAAGGAAGATCCTACTTCTTTCACAACTTACTTCTTGATCATGATTCTTCCAGAATACATTTCTTTTTCATTCAACAGAAAAGATTTGTCGTATGGAACTTTTGTGGCTAATTAAGCTTACATTTAATGAGAGATTCCTGGATTTCTACCAGAAATACTGAAAAGCACACCTAAGGTATAGGTTTTTGTTACAGAAATGCAGTATATATGTTCATTTAAAAGTAAATGGACATGCAAATTGCATCTCCTTAGGAGATACATTTTATATACTTTTTGGTGTGTTTTTTTTTTTTTCCATTATGGATTTCTATTTTTCTCTCTTTTTTTTTTTTCTGTGTCACTCTTCTCTGTGTTAATATCTTTCAAACTAGTCATGAGGCAAAACACCATGTCATGGATCTTGGTCAAGAAGCTCTTGGTCAGTCTTTAGGGTCCTCTAGAAATTAAGAAATAGTGAAATTATCACTGTGTGGTCTAACCGACTTCCTAGAATGCCATGCCTCCTGCTAGTGTTTTATGTTGTGGCTTTTGATAGGTGAGTTCATCTGGGTTAGCCAAGAGCCTGTCATTATTTTCAGTACTCTTCAGAATGCCCTTAAGCTACTTACATAATTTATGAGTTTCCATCAAAGCTAATGGTCAAGTCACTCCTCAGAAATCCACGCTTCTTAGTAATCCCCTAAACCAAATGCATACCTGTTGTCTTCCTCTGAAACTTACTTCTAACAGGGATCTCAATTTAAGTCTCATCAAGGCCTGATCAGTTCCTGACACCACAAGAAAACTTCATTCTAAGGCCTATTTATTGCCTTTAAAAAAAAATCCTTATGAAACTTCAAATTTGTACCACATCTTCTTATACAAAATTATATATTGTACTGTTCTAGCTGCTACATGTATATTAGTTTTGTCTCCCTCATAAGAATGTAAGCTCCTTAAGGGCAGGGACCATGTCTTAATTTTTGTATCCACCACAGTGCCTAGCACAGTGCTTGGCACATGGGTGCTGAATAAATACTTTGTTTATTGATCAACAAACTATCTGGTATTTTTAATTATAAAGGAATCAAGATGAATCAATATGTATGCGTACAAACGATATTTAGTTGTGAGCTTCATGACTGTCTCCGGAAGCCAGAGTTGCACCTGAACATGATCAAGGCAATGTTTTTTTTGTCTGTCATGGGGCTTGAACTCGGCCTGAGCACTGTCCTTCAGCTCTTCAGCTAGTGCTCTACCACCTGAGCTACAGCGCCCCTTCGGTTTTCTGGTGGTTTATTAGAGATAAAGAGTTTCACAGCCTTTCTTGCCCGGGGTAGCTTGGAATCGTGATCCTCAGATCTCAGCCTCTGAGTAGGTAGGATTACAGGCGTGAGCCACCAGTGCCCGGCAAGGGTAATGGTTTTGTGGTTAGACAAGTCAAACTGACCACCAGGTCATGGTCAGACCAGATAGGTCCACAGACCATCTGAGACCAGAATGAGATATATCTGACACATCATCTTTTGGAGGAATAGGTGGGATATTCTTTGAAGTATGTCAACATCCCTATATGAAAACACTGAACCACAAAAGACTTGGAGGGACAGATTTCTGACTATTAATGGGAATGTGGACGAAACATGTTTGATGCTTTTTTTTTCCCCCCAGCTCTGTCCTCCTAGCTTTTGAGATTGCAGAATAGCTAAGTCACTAGGCCAGATATAATGGAGTTATTTATAGATGGGCTGCTTTGCCTACACCATTTTTTTCCTGGTCCTGGTCAGGACCTGAGCTCTGTCCCTGATTCTCTCTGTGCTCAAGGCTAGCACTCTACCAATTGAGCCACAGTGCTGCTTCTAGCTTTTTCTTTTGACATGGTACTGAGGAATTGAACCCAGGGCTTCATGCATACTGGACAAGAACTCTACTACTAACCACATCCCCAGCCTCACACCATTTTTTAAATAGAGTAAATATTTAAGATTAACATCACAAAAATATGGTTTGCTTTCCTTGAAATTGGAAGAAAAATGGCTGTAATGACAGCCAACACCTGTCAATGATTGGCAGCTACCTCTAGAGGCAGGGTATGTGTCCTATCTAGAGAGATGCTTTTACCCATTCATATTATGTATTTGGATTCTTGTAATCATTTGGAACATACAACTCCTACATTCAATTACTTTGGACAGTACACTGGGAAATACTCCCACATTAAATTAGAATTTACTTTTTTACTTTTCTCATGCCATTGGGACTTGAATGTTGGGCCTTGTGCCACTCTGCTTTTCCACTCACGTCTGGTGCTCTACTACTTGAGCCTCCACTTCTGGCTTTTTGCTGGTTAATTTGAAATAGTCTTTTAAGATCTATCTGCACAGGCAGGCTTTTAGAACCTTGATCCTTATCTCAGCTTCCTGAGTTAAATAGGATTTTTAACCAGTGAACAAGCTGTTTCCTGGAAATGGACTTCAGAAAATGTTCTTCACTTGAGTTGTGTATAATTTATTCTCTAGAGCTTCCATTTCTGTATGCAGAGCAGTTGCTTGCTTTCTGAGGTTAGTTGGCAAATGAAATATTTTTTAATTGGGCGGGGGGGGGGGGGGGGGGGGGGGGGGGGGGGGGGGGGGGGGAAGAGTAACATTTTCTCTGCTGGAGTTCTGCGTCTTCAATAGCTGAAGTGTATAATGGATGATGTGTAAAGAATTTGATAGCCAGGCGCCAGTGGCTCACGCTTGTAACCCTAGCTAATCAGGAGCTGAGATCTGAGAATTGCGGTTCAAATCCAGCCCAAGCAGGAAAGTCATTGAGACTCTTATTTCCAATAAACCGCTAGGATACAGGAAGTGGCGCTGTGGCTCAAGTGGTAGAGCACTAGCCTTGAGCTGAAGAGCTGAGGGACAGCGCCCAAGCCCAGAGTTCAGGCCCCATGACTGACAAAAAAAAAAAAAATGAATGAATGAATTTGATAGTCTGGTAGGAATGGCTGAAAGGAAGGGTTAAAACAATTTTAATTCCACTCTCGAGGCTTGTTATTTCATGTCCATTGTGATGGTTATTTGTGAGGAAAATGCTTGATCCTCATAGAGCCAGAAAATCTTCTTCCCTCTTCTATAATAAGGCAAGTCCTTTTCAAAATTAACATTGTTGCCAGGCGCTGGTGGCTAATGGTTGTAATCCCAGCTACTCAGGAGGCCGAAACCTGAGGGATAAATCCGTGAGATTTTTCTCTAATAAACTATTCAGATAAAGCTTAAAGTGATGCTGTGGCTCAAGTGGTAGTGCTAGCCTTAAGCAAAAAGAAGCCCAGGGACAGCGCGCGCGCACACACACACATAATTGTAGCCTCTGAATGACTTTGATCTTAGCCTACCTTTTTCACTTTTAAACTGTGATTTATATCGCTACCATATTAATTAACCAGGTGCGTTGTTTAAAAGACAAAGTCCTTAAAATGTTTACGTAACCTACTTTTTTCACTTTTAAACTGGGAATTATATCGCTACCATATTAATTAACCAGGTGCGTTGTTTAGAAGACAAAGTCGTTAAAATGTTTACGTTCCTCACTGGTTTTTACCGAACTGAGTGCTGTCCTTGAAGAGTCATGATTATTGCAGACAGAGTTGGGAGGTGCATTTTTTAATATTTTTTTTAAATCGGAAAGATAGAACGTTAGAACAAAATTGCCCGGGAGAGAAGACTAAGGTCCTACGGAACCTTATACCCTTATCTTTCAGTGCTGTTGCTCCGGCTTTTTTGCTATTGGACCTAAGATCCTACTTTCCCCTCCCCCGGGAAGTGAAAAGCCTTACCGCGCCCCAGATGCATGCTGGGAATTGTAGTCCCTTTCCTGAAGGCGAGGCGAGGCCGTGAGGTCATCGGTGATCGCCGGGAGCCGCCAGCACGTGGCGCGGAGAGGGCGGGACCCAGGCCTTCGGCGGCGGTTCGGAACGCCGAGTCGCGCCTCCGGCCGCGGCGCCCTCCCGATATGCCGGAGGAGGCGGGCTTCCCGCCCGCCAAGAGATTCAGACCGGGCTCCGGGCCTTCGAGCCGCGGCGGGCCCCACCCTCCCGTGAGGCGAGTGGCGATGCTGCTGACGGCGGGCGGCGGCGGCGGCGGAGGCCGGAGGCCGCCGCCTCCGTCTCTGGGGCAGCCCTCGGCGAGTCCCTACCGCGAGGCCCTGGAGCTGCAGCGCCGGAGTCTGCCCATCTTCCAGGCGCGGGGGCAGCTCTTGGCCCAGCTGCGAAACCTGGACAACGCCGTCCTCATCGGTACGTGGCCACGCCGGCCGCCCTTCTTGGTTCTCCATTCCTGGCTTTTCGAGGACTTTTTCTTAAGATACTTCTCGTTTCCTTCTCGGGAGACCGATGGACTGAGCCAGCCAGCCCAGTGGGAGTGACTGACGGGATGGGAGGCAAAGACCGTCTTTGAAAGGGCTTAGAGGGGGGCACTCAGGCTTCTGGGGGCTTAGACGGGAGGATCCGACACAGTTTGTGGGAAGGGGTCCCGAAGGAAAGGCATTCTATGAGAGCGCACAATACCTGCCTAACACCGGACTCTAGTAACCATCCAGTGGAACGGCAGCTAGTAGTTTCTGGTGCTTGAAATGAGCTGGCTAGGATTGTAGGGTAGAGACTAATGTCAGGGAGCTTTGATCTCAAAGGTTCGAGTAAGAGGAGCTCCTGAAGGTCCTAGAGGGGAAGGAGACTTAAAAGCGCTGGTAGGCTGAGGAATAGACCTGCAAGAAAGAAGTGAACAGGTCCGTCAGTGTTGTCCAGTAAAATGTGACCCTCCCCGACTTCCTGCCCAAATTGCTCTCTGGATTTGGGTGTAAGATATTGATTGTACATCTCTCCCACTGAGATCTATTTCAATAGTCGTAGTGTGGGTGGGGTGAGCTGATGTGGTATTGGACTGTGTTGTAAGGAGGAGATGTGAGAATGACTTCAATGAGAGAGCCTTCTGTTTTGAGTGGGGGAAAAAGAGGCTGGGAGGAACTCGCCAATGTTTCAAGGTGAAGGGAAGGCTGAGTACAGATCAGGACTCCGGGAGAAACAGGCACCTAGCAACAGTGGCTAAAGGGAGAACTGCATGCCTCAGAGACCATAGCCTGGAAAAAGGAGCTAAGAGTGATGAGATTGAAAACATGTTTGTAGGGGCCGAAGGGAGAGGTTGGATTGAAGGACTTTCTGTATGAGACTGTTGTAGAATGTCTGCTGAGAATAGTAGTCCCATGGCCTTAAGTAGATCCTAGGGGATGCTGGAGATAGAAGACAGGCTCCATAAACAGGAACAAACCCTGGTGCATTTTGGCTCTTCATCTGCACTGTTGGCTTATTTTATTTTAGCAGTGCTTGGTTGCATAGAGACATTGATTCAAGTTTGAGGTGGTTCCCCCTGGATTCAGTAGGAAGACTGCAGAATAATCAAAATAGTCTGATTCTTGGCTGGGTCAAGAACGGTGAGCATTAAGGAGAGGCTGATTGATGCCTGCAAGAAAATGCAAATGGAACTTTAGAATTGAGGTTAGATAAGGTAGCCATGGTAAGGGAGAAGGATGCACTGGTATCCCTAGTTCTTTGCTCTAGTCAGGTACTGTTAAAGGGACCCTGGAAGGTAGAAGGTAACACTTAAAACATTTACACTGCCCAGTACCAGTGGCTCACCCCTGTAATCCTAGCTACTCAGGAAGCTGAGATCTGAGGATCTCAGCTCAGGCTGGAAAGTCCATAAGACTCGTATCTCCACTTAACTACCAAAAAAGCCAGAAGTGGCACTGTGGCTTAAGTGGTAGAGTGCTAGTCTTAAGCTGAAGAGCTCAGGACAGCCCCGAGGCCCAGAGTTTAAGCTCCACCACCGCCAAAAATCTCTCTCTCTCTCTCTCTCTCTCTATATATATATATCTGTATATATATTTATATTATGTACCATGTTTAGTGCTGATCAAGGAGTACTGATCAAGAAGTACTGATGTGGGCCACCTATGCAGCCCACAATAGTTTGAGACCTAACTCATCCTATAGTTTCCAGACAGCATAAGGGCAGGTTTTATGTCCACAATAGTATGGGCAAAGACATAAGAGAGGCTGGCCAGGGAATGGTGTGGAGTATATCAATGCACATTCCTTCCTGTCACCACTTATTAGTCTATGTGACAGTCATACTGTTTTTTGTTTGTTTGTTTATACTGGTACTGGGTCTTGAACTCAGGGTTTTGTGCTCTCAGCTTTTTGGCTCATAGCTGGTATTCTGCATCTTGAACTACAACTCCAGCCTAGCTTTTGTCTGGTTAATTGGAGATGGGGTTCTGCCCACACTGGCTTCAAAACTGTGATCCTTAGATCTCAGCCTCCAGAGTAGTTAAGATTATAGGTGTGAGCTACTAGAACTTGAGTCACAGTTCCACTTCTTGCTTTTTGGTAGTTTAGAGATAAAGAGTCTCACAGAGTTTCCTGTTGGGCTGACTCAAAACAGAGTTCCTCAGATTTTAGCCTCTGAGGAGGTAGGATCCCAACGGTGAGCCACCAGCACCTAACTCAAATGTAATTTTAAAGTAAACATTTTAAAGGATTTTTTTTGGCGTGGGGTGGGGAGTGGGGCTTGAACTCTGGGCCAGGGCGCTATCCCTCAGCTTTTCAGCTCAAGATGAACACTCTACCATTTGAGTCACAGTGCCACTTCTGGTTTTCTGGTTGTTAATTGGAGATAAGAGTGTCACAGACTTTCCTGCCTGGGCTCTGAACTGCTGTCCTCAGATCTCAGTCTACTGAGTTGCTAGGGTCACAGGCATGAGCCATCAACGCCTGGCATTTTAAAGGATTTTGAAAATATAATCTGGCCTTCTTGGAAACAAGACCAGTGAATATTCCCCAGTAGTATACTGAGTGCCCATCCTGGGGCCTTACCAACTCAGTATTTTATCTTTTTCTTCTGATTTGAACCATTTGATGATCTTTATGTCGATCTGCAGTTAAATGAGACTTTTTTTCTTCTTCTTAGGGGAAACTGGCTCTGGGAAGACAACTCAGATTCCTCAGTACCTCTATGAGGGGGGCATCAGCCGCCAGGGCATCATTGCTGTGACCCAGCCCCGTCGAGTGGCTGCCATCTCTCTTGCTACTAGAGTCTCAGATGAGAAGAGGACTGAACTCGGGAAGCTGGTATCTTAGTTCCTTTACTATCAGTGCTTTTAAAAAAAAAAAGACAACTGGACTGGGAATGTGGCTTAGTGGTGGAGTGCTTGCCTAGCATGCATGAAGCCCTGGGTTTGATTTTTCAGTACTACATAAACAGAAAAGGCCAGAATGGTGTTGTGGCTCAAGTGGTAAAGTGCTAGTCTTGAGCAAAAGAAACTCAGAAATAGTGCCCAGGCCCTGAGATCAAGCCCCAGGACTGGCAAAAACAACAAGTGGCAAAGTACTCCTGTTAAGCCCCTGCATTTTAGTTTTTCTGAACAATCTATTGCTTCTTTCTTGCCGCACTTGTTTAAGCTAGACTGCAATCTCTCCTTGTTGTAGGGGATCATGGGCTTCTTGTTCCTCTTGACTTTACTTTCAAAAGCTGTTTGGCTGGTTTGATAAATGAGATTTTTTTAAGTACTGGAGATTGAACCCAGGATCTCATGGCAAGTTAGGCAAGTCCTCTACAACTAAGCTACATCCCTAGCCCTAAATAAGGTATTTTCCTTGGGTATTTTTTTTTTTTTTCTTTTGTGCTGTGCTTTGCTGTGCTGGTCCTGGTGCTTGAATTCAAGGACTGAGTGCTGTCCTTGAGCTTCTTTTGCTCAAGGCTAGCACTCTACCACTTGAACCAGAGATCTACTTTTGGCTTTTTTGGGTAGTTTATTGGAGATAAGAATCTCACAGACTTTCCTGCCCAAGCTAGCTTTGATCCTCAGATCTCAGCCTCCTGAGTAGCTTGAGTTACAGGCATGAGCCACTAACACGGCTTCCTGGGGCACATTTATGACTTCAGAAGCTACTGGTAAATATCTTATATATAAATCTTTCTACAAAAAGTTGTAAGAATTATTTTTTCACATATGTAGACATTTACAATGAGTCTCAACTGTATAGAAGACAGATTTATATTTGTGTGTTTGTACTAACCTCACTTTCAAACATATTGGACACTGTCTCCTATCTTCTATCTGTACCTAGCTTCAAATGAGACTATTAGTAGCTTGAAGTAGGAAGCTAGTTTTTAATTCTTTGCAATGTTCAGTATTATTGCAATTAAAGATGAATGTTCACTGTTTCTCAACTCAACTGCAAGCTCCTTAGGGGGAGGAGCAGGGCGGCCTGTGTTCACTGAGACAGTGCATGTGCCAAGCACAGTGCTGGTGCACAGTATTCAGCTAATATCTGATGAATGAGAGAGTTGTTTCTTCACATAGGTGGGCTATACAGTACGCTTTGAGGATGTCACCTCAGAAGACACCAGGATCAAGTTCCTAACAGATGGCATGCTTCTGCGGGAAGCTATTTCAGACTCCATGCTTCGAAAGTACAGCTGTGTCATCTTAGATGAAGCCCATGAACGGACTATCCACACAGATGTGCTCTTTGGAGTAGTGAAAGCTGCACAGAAGAGGCGGAAGGAGCTGGGGAAGCTGCCACTGAAAGTATGTGCCTCAGAGTTATAAGGGCATAGTTAAGGAAAGGCCTGTGCTTCCTCCCTGGGGAGCTCTTTGCCCATTCTGCTTCAGAACCATATGATCGGAGCTGCATGGGCCTCAGCATCAGCTCTTCAGGCTTGGGAGGAACACAGAAAGGTCCTTCCTTGTTTGTTTCCTATCCCTCTTCTCATTCTCTTCTGTAGGTGGTTGTGATGTCAGCCACAATGGATGTAGACCAGTTTTCTCAGTATTTCAATGGAGCCCCTGTCCTCTACCTGGAGGGTCGGCAGCATCCAATCCAGATCTTTTACACTAAACAGCCTCAGCATGATTACCTGCACGCAGCTCTTGTCTCTGTCTTCCAGATCCACCAGGTATGGAATAGGGTGCACCTTCTTCGTAAGGTTTGTTTTACCTTGCGTTTGGTAGGGAGAGCAAGCAGCCCTAGAAAAGAAAAGCCATTAGTCAAACAGCTTTTTTTATGAATTGTGTCTTCAGGATGAATACATTGATTCTCTGTGTCTAACTATTCTTTTTTGTTATCTTTTATTTTCCCAGAAAAAAAATATAATTAACTCTGTAAGGCCAGTCAGAAGCATGTTTTACACTGTATTTTAGTATACAATGTGTTTAGCTGAAATAAATCTATGCTTGTCTCTTACTATATCTGATATGTTCTTTTTTTTAAAAAAAAAAAAAAGGGACTGGAAGGAGCTCATTGGTAGAGTGCTTGCCTTGCATGTATGAGGCCCTGGGTTTCCTCAGCACTACATAAGCAGAAAAAGCCGCAAGTGGCTCTGTGGTTCAAATGCTAGAGCTTTAGCCTTGAGCTGAAGAGCTGAGGGACAGCGCCCAGGCCCAGAGTTCAGGCCCCACGACTGACCAAAAAAAAAAAAAAAAAGGTATTGATCCAGTTTATTGGTTACAGTTTAGAAGTTTTTTGAAAAACTGTACTAACAGTCTGCTTCAAAATCTTCACTTTAGTAAACATTTACTTTAAACTTTTTTTTTTTGTGGTTATTTTCTTTTTTTAATTGTGAAAATACTGTACAGAGGGGTTACAATTACATGGGCAAGATAATGAGTACATTTCTTATCAAGCATTGTAGCCTCCTCCTTTGTTTCCCCTTCCCATTACTTTAAAATGTTTGTGTGATTAGGAGCTGGAGATGGTAGAGTACTTGTCTAGTAATTGCAAGGCCCTGAGTTCAAACTTTAGTACTACAGAAAAAAAAAGTAAATCACTTCATGTTTGTCTGATTTGTATAAAATCAGCTGTTTTCATCTTTCTGAGAAAATCTAGAGATAAATAATTTTTATTTTTTAAGTGTTGTATGTGTAGTTAAAAAAGTTTAAGGAGGTAAACAAGTCAAGGAGTTAATAATTTTTTAAAAAACACAGTTTTTTACTTACTTCAAGCTCCTATTCTTTTAAGAAATCACTTTCCCATTGCTGATTCTTCCAGCTATTATTTTCCTATTTCTAAAATACTCTGCTTATATTGCTAATTCTTGATTTATCAATATTAGCTATTCTTTGCTGGTTTCTTCCCATGGTAAATTAAGGTTTAGGATTTAGTGCAAACCCTCCCATGTCTTCTCCATTTTGTCAACATAGGTATATCATTGTTTATTAAAACCAATATCGAGGGGCTGGGGGTTTAGCCCAGCGGAAGGGCACCTGTCCGGCGCGCGCAAGGCCCTGGGTTCGGTCCTCAGCCCTGGAAAAAAATAAAATAAAAAATAAAACCAACATCAAGCTGGGCTTGGTGGTACATACCTGTAATCCCATCTACTTGCGAGGCAAAGATGAGAGAATCTTGTCTGAGGCCAGCCTAGACAAAGTAGGGAGACCCTCTCTCAAAAACAAAATGCAAAGCAGTAAGGCTGGGAGCTCAAGTGGTTGAGCAATTGACTTTTGTGTATGGGGCTCTGGGTTCTGTCCTACAGGGGGGGAAAATCCAGCACCAATATTTATAATGGTAGAACCAAACATTACTAGTTGTGCAATATCCCTTATTTTGGGTTTCTTGAGAAAAATCTTTTGTGCAAATTTTCTATGTAGCTATGGTTTGTTTTCCCTAAATGTTCTATAATCTCATGGCAATCATGTGCTGTGTTCAAACACATTCTGTCTGTAGGTTCATTTATGCTGCCATCCAGGCAGAAGAGGTGGCTTCACTGGGCCCCTGTGCTGTTGCCATCTTGACTCTTCCCCTCCCCTCTCTGCTGAAGTATAGCCTATTAGGGCTTGCTGTACCTTCCTAGCCTGGCTACATCAGATACAGTAGAGGAGGGAGCCCGGGAGTTTAGCCACACTGTACCTAGACTTTGAGCCAGTCCCTCAGTTTTCACTCTCCCACAGCTCACCTCCATCTTACTCCCTCACGTCCGGGGCCTTTCAGGATCCTCCAGGGAAATGAGCACATCTCTTGTCAGTCTTCCCCTTAGCAGGCCCCAAGGCAGGCAGAAGCTTCTGCACAGACATCAATCAGCCTCTCATCTCTTCCACCTCCCAGAAATGAGTTGTACTCTTATCTCTTGCTGTCTTTGCCACCAAGACAATGACCTTTACTGTCCACTCCATACTATTTTATTAAGCAGAACAAGTCCATGTGCTTGGTTTAACTGCCAAAAGCAAACTTCAAATGAGGATTTTTCATAAATGATGGCTGCTGGTACATTCAGGTTATAGGGTTACTTTGATGCAGTCTCCTGCTGATGAAGTTTTGACTATTTCAGATTTTCTCCTGTCTGTATGAACCTCTGAACATCTGTCTTATTTTATTACCTCAACCACACCTCTAGTTCCTAGTTTTTTGCTCGTTAATAGGAGATGAAAGTCTCTGGGCTGTTTTAGAACCTTTATCCTCCAGTCTCAGTCTCCTGAGTAGCTATGAATATAGGTGTGAACCACCAGCACCCAGCTGATAACATTGCTATGAAAGAAAGTCCATACTTGATCCCAATTTCCACTGTGTACCCATGTTGTCTTTTTTCTGTTCCAGAATCCCACTGAGACCACCAGTGCATGCTTAGTTACCATGTTTCCCTGCAACTCTTAGTTCTGACAGTTTCTCACACTCTCCTTGTTTTTTTTTTTGTTTTACTCATTTTTGTTTTTTGATTTTGAGTTAACATACCTTTTGTAATTTGGAGGTTTTCATTGTGATATTTATGTATGAATTTTTATATGATGAATTTACCATTTTTTCTCTATTCCTATTCTTCCCTTTCTCCCCTTTCCCCGTTTTAGTTTTGACAGAGGTTCTTACAGCCAGGCACCGGTGGCTCAGGCCTGTAATCCTAGCTACTCAGAAGGCTAAGATCTGAGGATCGAGGTTCAAAGCCAGCCTGGGCAGGAAAGGCTGTGAGACTCTTATCTCCAATAAACTACCAGAAAACAGGAAGTGGCTGTAGCTCAAATGGTAGAGCACTCGCCTTGAACTGAAGAGCTGAGGGATAGTGCCCAGGCCTAGATTCAAGCCCCATGACTGACAAAAAAAAAAAAAGAGGTTCTTATGTTTTTGTCTGAGACCAGTCTTTGATTATAATCACCCTATTACTTTCTGTGTACCTTGGATTATAAGTGAATGTCACCATGCCCAGCTTATTTTTTTTTTTTTTTTTTTTTTTGGGGGGGTCCTGTTGTGGGCCTGAACTCTGGACCTGGGTGCTGTCTCTCAGCTCTTCAGCTCAAGGCTAGCGCTCTACCACTTGAGCACCACTTCTGGCTTTTTTTTTTTTCTGTTTATGTGGTGCTAAGGAATCGAATCCAGAGCCTCATGCATGCAAAGCAAGCGCTCTACCACTGAGCCACCTTCCCAACCCCATGCCCAGATTATTTATTGATATATGTTCTCACTAACTTTTTGCCTAGGCTAACCTAGAGCCTTAGTTCTCCACACACAATTCTAACTTGCCATTCTTTGTGAGTAATTGTGTTTATAGGCATAAAAGTGTGATCTCTGGGCTTCACATTTGCTAAACAGGAGTGCTACATCCTAAGCCATGCCCTTGGCTGTGTTTTTTTTTTTAACATGGTTGACTCACATGTTACAGTTCTCTATGTTGTTAGTGAGGGTTTACTTTCAGTGAGACATCAACATTTAGGTTTCTTTACATCTCCACAATTGAGAACATAACTTGGAAAACTTTTTTTTTTCTGTCTTTTTAATAGGAAGCCCCTTCTTCTCAGGACATCCTAGTGTTCCTCACTGGTCAGGAGGAGATTGAAGCAATGAGCAAGACCTGCCGAGACATTGCAAAGCACCTCCCGGATGGCTGCCCCTCACTGCTGGTCCTTCCTCTCTATGCCTCCCTACCCTACACACAGCAGCTCCGAGTCTTCCAAGGGGCCCCAAAGGTCAGTGACCTCTTTTTCTGTCCAGCCCTGTTCTTGCGCATTAAGTCAGGGCCCATCAGTGGGGCCTGTGTGCCACAGTACCAGGCTCCAGGTAAGGTTCATGGGAGGTAGTGGCGCCACTCATGGAGAGAATGGAGATAGGGAATGCATAGCTGCAGGCAGACAGTCCTGGGAGAACAGGAAAACATTTGTCAGCATGAGAAGAGTATAGAGGCAGAGGCAGAAAGGTAAACATGTGACTCTTTTAAGGCCATTGTAAAACCACATTTGTCCATAGTACCATTTGTCTGTGCTTTGCTGTGCCCATACAGTGAGACACTCTCATCCTCATGGGATCCCACATAAATACTAAGCCCCCTCCCCCACCCAGGTGGGAATTGCTCAAGGGGCATGTGCTTGTTCCAAACCACATCTCATTGCCTAAATTCACCTTCAGGACTGCAGGATCGCCTCTCCCTACCCTGCCCAGTTTAGTGACTCAACTCTTAATGACCACCATTATTAAAGTTTTCTCTTTTTTGGTCATAAATTAATGGTGAGAATATGTTTTGAAACTTATGCATCATATATATGTCATATGGCTTTTTGGTTTTCTTATTCCTTTTAGGGCTATCGCAAAGTGATCATTTCAACCAACATCGCAGAAACCTCCATAACCATTGCAGGAATAAAATATGTAGTTGACACGGGCATGGTTAAAGCAAAGAAGTATAACCCTGGTGAGAATTTGTAGCTCATCAATGTCTCTCCCGTCTATAGTGAGCAGCTGTTGAAACTAGTTCCACAGTTTCCCCCCACATGAACATTGTATATTTGAGAGCAGCTGAAATTTCAGTGGCAGGAACTATAAGTGAAACAACCCAGGAATCAAGTGTGGAAAGGAGACCCAATAAGGTGAGAAAAGATGGTAAAGAGCACAGGTTTAAGCAAGCCTGCCAACAGAACAGCAGGGAGCTGAGCACAGTGTCTGATAGCTAGGTGACTAGAGACAGCCTAATGCCACTGTGATAGCCTCCTGAGAAAAGATGTTTTGAGGTTGACCTGTTTGGGCTCCTAGGTTTCCCAGGAAGAACGTAGCTGCCCTCCACTGGGGTGAGGAGCAGAGGAAGAAGCACTGACTCTTCTGTGAGTGTGCTGTGGGAAGCTTGCTTGAAGTCATTTTTGCTCATTTCTGTCTTCTACCTTGCTTTATTCTACAGAGAATTTGAAACCACTGTAATAAAATGCCCCCTCCTCCCCCCCCCCCCCCCACCCCACCTTTTAAACTCAGAGCCTTAAGCTCTTGCTTGGTTTTTTTGCTCAAGGCCACCTGCCACTCTACCACTTGAACCACTTCTCACTCTTTACTAGTTAGTCTTTCAGGTTTTTCTTTCAGGGCTGGCTTCAAGCTATGATCCTCAGATCTCAGCCTCCTGAGTAGCTAGGATTACAGGTGTGAGCTACTGGTTCCCAGCTGCCCCCAATTTATATTTATTTATTTATTTATTTAATCAGTCCTGGGGCTTAAATTCATGGCCTGGACTCTGTTCCTGAGCCTCTCTGCTCAAGGCTAGTGCTCTGCCACTTGAGCCACAGCACCCCTTCTGGCTTTTTCTGAGTAGTTACTAGTTAAGAGTGTCACAGACTGGGCTGGCTTCAAACTGTGAGCCTCAGAGCTCAACCTCCTGAGTATCTAGGATTACAGATCTAAGCTGCTGGCACCGGGTTGCCTGCCCTCCCCCTCCCATTTTTATGTGAAGCATTCTTCCGAGCACAGAGGGGTTAACTTTCCCATGTGTGTCCCCCAGGACAGGGCAAGTTTCCAATCCCTGGCATAGTATATTCCCTTGAGAAAATTATTGTCCCTTACCTCTAGGACACCTGTCATGTGGCCTCACTTTTATCAGAGAACTGTGATTGAGGTACTCCTCATTAGTTGGTAGTGTGATCAACCTTTCCTGCTTACTGGAAACAAGCCCCATCATAGCACCAAAAGTCCCACGTCCAAAGAATTCTAGTGCCAGGTAACTGGAGTATTTGGCATTCTCTGATCTAAGTCAATTTCTTCTGACCCTTGACGGAAAGCTTTTCTGATGGTTTTGTTGCAGATCACCATCAAGGGTTCATTGCAGTGTTGTGTTTCAGAGTGGAACCAGACCACTGCATAGCAACCTGGTCTTGTACTTTTCTCTGTTAGCCTGGAGTTTTTCTGATCCCCCAAGTTTCAGAATGACTCACTGGTGTTCTGAGCACCATTTGTTTTTCCAGTGCTTTGTATAATGAGAGCACTCATGGGGCCCATTCTCCCCTCCACTCCCCCAGACAGTGGTCTTGAGGTGTTAGCTGTGCAGCGGGTGTCCAAGTCCCAGGCCTGGCAGCGCACAGGGAGGGCTGGCAGAGAAGACAGTGGTGTCTGCTACCGGCTCTACACCGAGGAGGAGTTCGAGAAGTTTGATAAGATGACTGTGCCAGAGATCCAAAGGTAGGCTCGGGTTGCATGTGCGTGCCTGCCTGCCTGCCATCTCTTCTGTGTCTCTTCTTCCTAGTTACTAATTTTTCCCCAGAGTCCTAGCTTTCACTAAGATTTTTTTTTTTTTTTGGTCAGCTGTGGGGCTTGAACTCTGGGCTTGGGCTCTGTCCCTGTGCTCTTCAGCTCAAGGCAAGCACTCTACCACTTGAACCATAGCACCACTTCCTGTTTTCTGTTGGTTTATTGGAGATAAGAGTCTCATGGACTTTCCTGCTCGGGCTGGCTTTGAACCTCAATCCTCAGATCTCAGCCTCCTGAGCAGCTAGGATTACAGGCATGAGCCACCGACACCTGGTTTCACTAAGGTTCTTGAGTGAATGTGCTGTTGAGGGCTCAGGCCAACTAGATGACTCTCACTCTTCACAGGTGCAACCTGGCCAGTGTGATACTTCAGCTCCTAGCAATGAAAATCCCAAATGTGCTCACCTTTGACTTCATGTCCAAACCATCTCCTGGTAAGTTAAATACTCAGTGTAATGGAAGATGGACAAGTAAACAACAAATGCACTCTTCCATAACAAAGAAAAAACAGTATCTAATTGGGTGTCTAACAACACTGTATCAGAAAACTGTCTGGAAATGGTAAAATGATCAATTCCATGCTGCTGGCCCCATCACATAGGTCCTTGACCTTGAGTTAGTGAAGGTCATGGAGTTCCATGGGGTACTACAGAAACCTAAAGAAGTACTCTCATTAGCAAGAGGGCAGCAGAGATCAACCTTCTTTGCATTTAATAAGATTTTGGCCAATCTCTGCCCTTCCTCTTCATCAAGGAAGAAAATAAAACCTCTGAGATTCTTTTTTTTTTTTTTTGGGTCCGGTCGTGGGGCCTGAACTCTGGGCCTGGGCGCTGTCCCTCAGCTCTTCAGCTCAAGGCTAGCACTCTACCACTTGAGCCACAGCGCCACTTCCGGCTTTTTGTTTTTGCTTATGTGTTGCTGAGGAATCAAACCCAGGGCCTCATGCATGCAAGGCAAGCGCTCTACCACTGAGCCACCTTCCCAGCCCTCTGAGATTCTTAATGATGGGAGCTTTAGCACCTGGCATCTCATCAATGTATCATTCCTCCAACCTTGTTTTTTTCCCTGGTTATTTTGGAGATGGAGTCTTGCAGATTTTTCTGGCCTTGCTGGCTTTGAACCTCAATCTTCCAGATCTCACTCTCCTGAGTTGAGACTATAGAACTAGTGCCTGGCTCATTTTCCTTTTTTTTTTTTCCTTTTTGGAAAAGGGCTTGAGCTCAGGGCCTGGGTGCTGTCTCTCTTTTTGCTGGGGCTAGCTTCTACCACTTGAGCCACAGCTCTACTTTTGGATTTTTTGGTGATTAACTAGAGAGGAGAGTATTAAGAGTCTCATGAACTTTCCTTCCTGTGGGGTGACTTTGAACTGTGATCCTCACATCTTACCCTCCTATGTGAGCCACCAGTACCCAGCTCCTCTCCCCCCAGGAGCCTGAGATCTAAGATTCATGGTTCAAAGCCAGGCTGGGTAGGAAATTCCATGAGACTCTTACCTCCAGTTAACCACTGTGGTTAGAGCTGTGGCTCAAAGTGGTAGAGCACTAGCCCTGAGCTGAAGAGCCCAGGGACAGCACCCAGGCCCTGAGTTCAAGCCCCATGACTCCCCTCCACCCTCCACCCCCACACAAAATGGATGTGCAAATGCTCCACCCTGAACTTTAGGTTCTGCCTTCCCTGTAACAGCCATTGTGATTATTTTTAGTTGTCTCTAGAAAAAAATCTATGCACTTGGGAAACATGTAATCTTCAAGAACTGAAATAGAAACAACATATACTCTCTAGGCTTGATTTCCCCACCCCTTTTTTTTTCTTTGCCAGTCCTGAGGCTTGAACTCAGGGCCTGGGCACTGTCCCAGAGCCTCTCTATGTTCAAGGCTAGTGCTCTACCATTTGAACCACAGCGCCACTTCTGGCCTTTTCTGTTTATATGATACTGAGGAATCAAACCCAGGGCTTCATGTATGCTAGGCAAGCACTCTAACCACTAAGCCACATTCCTAGCCTTTTCCCCGCTTTTTTTAATTGCCAAATTCCTACAAAGGGTGATACTTGTAAGGTCTAATAACTAATACAGCCAACACCAATGTATTTACTACCAGAGCTATTGAGGCCCTGACCCCTTCCTGGTAGTCCTTGCCCCCCCCCCCCCCCCCCCCCCCCCCCGCCCCAGGGTAACTTTCCCACTCCCTACCTTCAGCTGTTCTTTAGTGTTATCAGTAATGCTTAGGAAAGCATGTGGGGTAGTGTGTATAGTGTGTATCGTTGGAGGTGTTTGATGAGTTATCTAAAATTTCAGAAGAACTTAACTAGGTGCAACTTCTTCCTGTTTTGAATTTTTGGCTACTTCTTATGTCTTTGTTTCTTCAGATAATATTCAGGCGGCCATTGCCCAACTGGACCTGTTAGGTGCTCTTGAACATAAAGATGACCAGCTTACCTTGACTCCAATTGGAAGAAAGATGGCAGCATTTCCTTTAGAGCCCAAATTTGCCAAAGTAAATGATCCTTCCTCCTCAGTGCCCTTTCTGTATATTACAAGTTATCCATTTCCAGGAAGTACTTGAGCCCTGCCTTCCTGACTCGCCTCACTTGTTCTCTTAAGTGTTAAATGACCATTACCTACTGTGTACAATGTGTATTATATTGTGGGTGGGATTCAAAAATACAAGTTATAAGTCTTACCCACAAGGATTTGTAAGCCTACAGGGAAGGCAGTGATTTATACATTTCTAAATTTTGATTTTTTTAGACCATCCTCCTGTCCCCCAAATTCCACTGTACAGAGGAAATCCTGACCATCGTTTCCCTGCTGTCTGTGGATAGTGTTCTCTACAACCCTCCTGCCCGGCGGGATGAAGTGCAAGCTATCCGGAAGAAATTCATATCCAGTGAGGGGGATCACATTACGTTGCTCAATGTCTATCGGACCTTCAAAAATCTAGGTGGAAATAAGGTGAGCCTTGTGTTGTTCCTCTTTTAGGTATGTGTTTTTGTGTGTAAACTTTTGTGCCAGAGGCTTGAATTTAGGACCTGGGTGCTGTCCCTGAGCTTTTTTGTTCAAGGCTAGTGCTTTGCGATTTGACACATAACTCCACTTCTGGCTTTTTAGTGGTTAATTGGAGAGAAGAGTCTCACAGACTTTCTTGCTCAGGCTTGTTGTGAACTGCATTCCTCAGATCTCAGCTTCCTGAATAGCTAGGATTACAGCTAAAGTATGTATTCATTTACCTAAAGGAGAATGCCACCATCCGACTTTAGTATTTAACTTTTTTTCTTTTTAATGGCCAGTGCTGGGGCTTGAACTGAGGGACTGGGCACTGTCTCTGAGCTTCTTTTGCTCATGGGTAGAACTCTACCACTTCAGCCACAGTACCACTCCCACCTTTTTCTGTTTATGTGATACTGAGGAATCAAACTCTAGGCTTCATGCATGCTAGGCAAGCACTCTACCAATAAGCCACCTTCTCATCCCTAGAATTTTAAAACTTTTCGCCAAATTTATTTTGAGGCAGACAATATGTTCTTAGCACAGGGAAAATACTGAGCCATTCTTTCCTGTGGATACTGTCCTGACATTGGGGAGTTACCCATGGACAAGATATACGTATAAAATGGGTATAGTAGCACATGGCTCTAATCCAGCACATGAGAGGCTAAGACAGCAGGGTCCATAGTTCAAGCCCAGCCTGGCTACATAGACTGTTGCAAAAATATTTTTTTATATTTCATATTCATCCAAACAATTTGCCATAAATATCAGCATTTTCTACACTTTTTTCTCAGCTTTCTACTTTTAGCCCTAAATAATCATCCTTATGCAAATGAAGGAGAAATTTCTCTAGTGCTGGGACTTAAGAGTAGACCTGCTATGGCTCAGCTTTACCAGGCTGGCATGTCTCTCTACTTTTGAAGTAAAACAGTTTCCGTTTCTACAATCCTTCTCAACTTATAGTTGAATTCAGTTTTAGCCAAGTTCATATATAAAGTAGTTTCTCAGGTATTCTAAACTATATTGTCAATTTTTCAAGAGACAGCATCCTAAGAACAGTTTTTATATACATGTATAGTTCGTGGTTTTGTTTTTGTTTTCTATAGAGAAATGAGGATTTTGACATCTCTTTTTCTCCCATTCAGGACTGGTGCAAAGAGAATTTTGTCAACAGTAAAAATATGATGCTGGTAGCTGAAGTCAGAGCACAGTTGAGGGAAATCTGCTTAAAGGTATGTCGTGGCCCTGCTCTGGGAATTAAGCTATCATGTTTCTCTAGGGGAAATTTTTTTTGGGTCTGGTCGTGGGGCTTGAACTCTGGGCCTGGGCGCTGTCCCTCAGCTCTTCAGCTCAAGGCTAGCGCTCTACCACTTGAGCCACAGTGCCACTTGCGACTTTTTTCTTTTTGCTTATGTGGTGCTGAGGAATCGAACCCAGGGCCTCAGGCATGCAAGGCAAGCGCTCTACCACTGAGCCACCTTCCCAGCCCCTAGGGGAAATTTTTAAATTCTTTTTTTCATTTTTGGTTGGTCATAGGGCTTGAAGTCAGGGCCTAAGCTCTGTCCCTAAGCTCTTTCACTCAAGGCTAGCACTCTCTACCACTTTGAGCCACAGCGCAACTTCCAGTTTTCTGGTGGTTAATTGGAGATAAATGTCTTGGGGACTCTCCTGCCCAGGCTGGCTTCAAACCACATCCTCAGATCTCAACCTCCTGAGTAGCAAGGATTTCAGGCCTAAGCCACCAGTGCCCAGCTTAAATTCTTACTGTTAATAATCATTAAGGGAATTCTCATTGTAGATAAGTTTGAAAATAAACAAGTAAAACTTATGATTCTACCTCTCATATTGATCTCTTTCCTAATATCCTAGTATCTTTTAAAAATTTTATTTGTGTACTTATGTATGGATGGATGTATTTATGGTACTGGGGTTTAATTGAGAACCTTGCACATACTAGGGAAGTGCTCTACAACTGAGCTACATCCTATCTCTTTATTTTACCTTACACATAGTTCAGTCATATATGTAACTATGCAACATTCCAATTTTATAAACTGGAAGAAACAGTCAGACAGGATCATGACACTGATCTGGGAGAAAAGGGAGACCACGAGATGACGCACATTACTGACCACAGGGTACCTGATGAAAGAGGGTTGCGAGGAAAGACAGGATGGGCTCACGGTAGTTCATTTACAGCCCTCCTGAGGGAAGTTCACCTTGTTTAGGCAGACACAGTAGAGGCTCATTGAGAGCGTTGAGTAGATGAAGCAGTGCTCATACTATGATTTAGGAAGATTAATTTGGTGGGAGCATGGAGATGCGTGCAAAGATGATGATGTAGGAAGTGAAAGGGAAGGCTCCCCTTCCAGGGCTGTCATGGGTACTTGGATGAAGAGTGTGTTACCAGCCCTCCTGGGGTCTGTGGACATTTCCCTCCCAGTCCAGTGTCTTCCAGGCAGATGTGTTTCTGTGCCTTCCCCTTTGGTTCTACCTCCATCCCCGACCCACTGCTGCCTGGGGCAGCTGAGGTGCCATGCCGCTCAGAGTGGCACAGTCTGCTCTTTCAGATTGTGCAGTATGGGCCGAATTTAAGCTGTTGCGTCATACCTACCTGCAGTGCTGAGTAGGATTTATGTTTAGGTACTTTTCCATCTCAATTCCTCCTGTAACAGATGTCCATGCCGATGGTGTCATCACGAGGAGACATGGAGAGCATCCGCCGCTGCCTGGCTCACAGCTTATTCATGAATACTGCTGAGCTGCAGGCAGATGGGACCTACGCCACCACCGACACCCACCAGCCAGTGGCCATCCACCCCTCATCTGTCCTCTTCCACTGCAAGCCAGCCTGCGTTGTATATACCGAGCTGCTCTACACCAACAAGTGCTACATGCGAGACCTCTGTGTTGTCGATGCGGAGTGGCTGTACGAGGCTGCCCCTGAGTACTTCCGGAGGAAGATGAGAACTGCCAGAAACTGAGCCACACTCAGGTTCTGCTGGCATGGCTGGTGCCTGGAACTTGGACCACAGCTGTCCTGATCCCTGACTCTCATGTCACCAGCTAGAGGAGTTGTGAGTTTCAGTGCAGCTGAATGTGTTCGACTTCACCTTTGCTGAAACTCCCCTGACTGAACTATGTAGATGTGTACATAATATTTATACCATGGGCACTTTTTGCTGTAGGTTTTTGCTAGGTGACTTTGGGTAACTTGGTTAATTTCAGAATCTCAGTTTCCTATCTGCCAGGAAAGGGATGGGATTACTAATAATACTTGCTTAAGAGGTAAGGTCATAAAGTTTAGAGAAAATGAATGTACAGTTACCCAGAGTTTTGTTTGGTATAAGGTACACATGCAATTGTGGCCAGGCATGGTAGCTCACCTGTAATCTGCTCGGGCAGTAGAGACTGGGAGGTTCATGGTTCAAGGCCAGCCCAGGCCTTGAGATAACCCCATCTCAAAAAAATAAGGCTGGTATCATGGTAAAGGCCACGTGGTATCGTGATCTAAGCCACATGGGAGGCAGTAGGAAGATAGCAGTCTGAGGTTGGCCCTGAGCAAAACACTGGAGTCCCTATCTAAAAAAGAACTAAAGCAAAAAAGGGCTAAGGTTGTAGCTCTCTAGTGGTAGAATACCTGCCTAGAAAAGTGGGAGGCCCTGAGTTCCAACCTCAGTATATACTGGTGAATTGATTATATTTCTGTGAAATAATACAACAAAGTCCCCTGAGTTCTTGTGGCCAAGGGTACTTAGCTGCATGTAGCCATAGGAAGTCAGAGAGCTTGGATATATCTTTGTGTTTTTACCCAGTGCTGGGGATCTAATCCAAGACCACACACATACTAGGAAAACGCTCTGCCACTGAGCTCTGTCTCCAGTCCCTGACTGTAATGTCTACCTGTACAAAATTTTAAAATAGAAAACACAAGATGCTGACTTTTGTAGACATTCCAGGAGGGAGATGCTGGAGATTACCTCCTGGGATAACCAACATCATGTGACAGAGAGGAGCAGGCATCTCAGCTGAGGTACTCTCCACAGTTTATTGCTGCTGGGGAAAGATGCTATAAGTTTTTAGCTAATTACCAAAAGCCAACAACCACTTATGTGTTGGTGCATACCTGTAATCACAGAATTGAGAGTGTGAGGGCAGTGGATCTTGGATTAAAGGCCAAACTGGGCTACCTAGTGCGACCTTGTCTCAAAGTTAAAAAAAATATATATATTCTCAGAATGTTGGGGCCTAGAAAATGCCACATTTAGCCCTTTTGTTTTCCTTGGTTGGTCCAAACATGTCTGTGACATAAATTTGTCATTTACAAAATCTTTTATAATACAGGGGCCCAAACTATCTACAAGGCACTGCAAACACAGTAGATAATCTCTTAATTCTTTGCAGAGATCACAGCCTTAGGCATCTCCATTCCAGGGTTTCATTGCTCCACAGTTCTATAGTAAGTCTGGTCCCATCTATTTATAACTCCAGCCATGGTATGGAGTAGTCAAGCTTTTAAGTGTTTAGAGTTGCTTGGCACTTATTTATTTCCGTTAGAAATGGTTAACATTTAGATCAGATAGGATTTGACACATCCTGTAAAATTCTTATCCTTGAACTGTTTTATTCTTATTTTTTTTTTTCACATACTGGCTTGTTCTTACCATTATTCACATGCTGAAAAGTTCCCCAGAAAGGTATTCTTAGTTTATTTTTCTTACTCATACTACAGGACTAGGATATTCAGCCTGTATTAGTAAAAGAAAATTCTGTGTTTTTAATAGAATATCCTGCTGGTAAAAATTGGAAGGGGGGGGCAGTTTATTCCTCATTAGTCATTAGTTTATGTTCCTTGGCAAATTCTACATGTTCTCTCTTCAGAAAACTTAATTTAGAGCAATGTATGGCCAATTTAAGTACTTGAACACTTCCTAGACTAGTATCTTCTTTGAGGAGCAAACAAAGAATACAACTTCTAAGTAGCTTTAATTTTTCTGTATGGAAAGATGTTTATCATTATAATATTGTGATAGCGTTTTAATATAGTAGTTTTTTATTGGGCTTTTAAAAAGTTGCTTTTAAGCATAGCTGCTCAGGGATTAAATCAGATGGAGAACCCATTCTGACTACATATTACTACAAGGAAATCAATAGTTACATTGAGCTTCAGGGAACGTACAAATTAAACTTAAAGAGAGTTAAATGTTTTATAGTTGTATTGCAGTAAAATCTTGAGGTACCCTTTCAGTTGGTGAAATCTCTGATGATGTCTGTCTTACCTCTATCCTGTGAAATTTCTATCTGGATAAGTCAGTAGCTCCCATATGCAGCTTCATGTAAGTAGATGCTTTCAGAGCAGCCCTGCATGCCTCAGGTATTTGCTGCCAGTAATCATGGCATGTGAAACACCAAAGTCACCTTTCACTACTGGGGATGGGACTGCAAACACCAGGTCCTTGGTGAAAACAATGCTGCATCACTGCTAGTTTTGAGCAGATGCCAAAATGGGAGCAGAACTGATTAGTTACTGTAAATCCACATAAACCAGCCACCAAGAGCTGCTTGGAACTACAACCATGAATCTAAAATGTTATTTCTTAAGCACATATGGTACAATGTAATTGCACAAATGGAAATAGAGTTGTAGAAGAAACTGAAGGGATGGGGAGAAACCTGATTCAGGTCTGTAATTGAATCTGGTCTTATTCAGACATAACTTACAGAAATATCACTTCTTGTATATAATGCTCAGATTTGCACTTGACTATGAAATCCTTAAAAAAATGAATCTTGTCCATGATATGTGTGGTTTCTTTATTGGGTCTCCTTTCTCTTATAGAAAACTGTTCAGGTAATACTAGTGTTATTGTCAGTAACCGTCATATTGACATTGCCAATTAGACTTTCTTAGTGCCTTGGATGATTCTTACACTAAATCTGATACTGTAACCATAGCTTCTTGCCTTCAGAAAAAGTTCTTCCACCAGAACTTGCATTCAGATATGGAGGGTAAGCCGGGTACCTGTGGCTCGCACCTGTAATCCTAGCTACTCAGGAGGCTGAGAGCTCAGGATCGTGGTTCAAAGCCCAAGCAGGAAAATCAGTGAGACTTATCTCCAGGAAACCACCAGAAAACCTCAAGTGGCACTGTGGTTCAACTAGTAGAGAACTAGCCTTGAACTGAAGAGCTGAGGAACAGCGCCCAAACCCAGAGTTCAAGCCCCACGAGGATACAAAAAAAAAAAACAAAAACCCGTGGGAGGTGCAGAGAGAGGTCACCAAAAACAAATCACATCTACCCTCGGGATGTCACGGCCTGCTTGGGCGCTGGGGAAGCCGCTGGGTGACTAGCGAAGCCATACCCTTCAGCTTCCAGGCCAGAACGAGGGGCATCCACGAGGATCCCTGAGGACAGGGCCTTCGGGTCTGGTCTGGGGCCGCGAGGGACGACCGGAAGGCATTCCACCAGGTCCGAGAGCGGAAGTGGGGGAGCGCGCGGCCTCTGGAGAGACCCGCGCGCCTGGCACAAAGCGCGGCCCTGTCCACGCCCGAGGAACCCGGAGGTCACCAGCGGGCGGGGCGGTCCGCAGTGAACGCAGTCGGGCAAGCGCCTGCGCTCGCCTGAAGTGCTTCCGGGGCAAGGGCGGGCTTCCGGTGGCGCGCGCGGTCACGGGACGTCTCGGCTGGGGTCGTCCTTCGCGCCCGCACGTGCCGGCCGCCGCCTTCGCAATGCTTCCTTTGCTGCGCTCGGTTCCCCGCGCCCTGGGCGCCGCCGCCAGTGGCCTGCGCGCCGCCGTGCCCGCGCCGCCGCTCCGGCAGCTGCTGCAGCCCGCGGTCCGGCCGTGCCTGCGGCCTTTCGGGCTGCTGGGTGTGCGCGCGGCGGCGGGGCGGCGGCGCGGCCTCCTGCGGGTCCCGGAGCCCTGCGCCTGCGGCTGCGGCGCCCTGCACACCGAAGGTCAGGCCCGGGGAGGGCCGCGGCCGCGTGCGGGGGCCCGGGGGGGAGCGGCGTCCGGAGGAGCCTCCGGGGGGAGCCCGGGCGCTGGCCCCGCGTGGGCGCGCTTCCCCATCCACCAGGATGAAATCAACTCTTTGGCTTTAAGCTTTGGTTCAGATCAAGAGTCGCGGTGGAAGGCATGGTTGTGTCGGTGGGCAAGTGGAGAGAGAAACTGGGGTTTTCCACCCCGTTGTTTGAGGCAGGGTCTTGCCACATTGTGTAGTCCAAGCTGGTCTCCAGCCCGCGAGCCTCCTGCCTTTCTCTCCTGAATGCTGGAGGAATGCACAGGAAATTTCCTTGGTTTTTATAGAGAAAGGTGGGCCTGTGTTCGTTATTAGGAATAACTTTTGCAGAGTCAAGCTCAGCTTCCCACTTCACAGAGCAGAAAACTAAGGCCCCGCAACATAGTACCAGGGAGATTAGAAACAGTCCCAGTCTCCGTTTAGCTGCAATAACTTGGGTGACTGTTTTATATTTTACACTAACATTGACTTTTCACTTTCTGAATCTGGATTTCCTTTTTAGGAGACAAAGCTTTTGTTGACTTCTTGACTGATGAAATTAAGGAAGAAAAGAAAATCCAGAAACACAAGTCCCTACCCAAGATGTCTGGAGGTTGGGAGCTGGAAGTGAATGGGACAGAGGCTAAATTAGTTCGGAAAGTTGCTGGAGAAAAGTAAGTACTGGTTGATGAACTGGGGTCTCCAAGAGAACAAGTCATGATGTGCTTTTTGTTGTTGTTGTTTTTTGTTTGTTTTTGGTCAGTAGTGGGGCCTGAACTTTAGCCTGGGCACTGTCTTAGCTTTTCAGCTCAAGGCTAGTGCTCTACTACTTGAGCCACAGCGCCACTTCCAGCCTTTTCTGTTTATATGGTACTGAGGAATCAAACCCAGGGTCTCAGGCATGCAAGGCAAGCACTCTACTACTGAGCCACTTTCGGAGCCCCAAGCCATGATCTTGTAGGATCTCTCCTGGGCTGTTCCCAGAACAGCCTCAAGGTAGACTCATGCTGGTAAAATGGTTTTCAAGATAGACTTGGACAACTTAATAAACTCCAGATAGTGTGTTCACCATATACAAATTTGTTGCGGGTTGATTACTAAGGAAACAAGTAGCACAAAAATATGTAGCTGGGAGGCTGGGAAGGTGGCTCAGTGGTAGAGCGCTTGCCTTGAATGCATGAGACCCTGGGTTCGATTCCTCAGTACCACATAAGCAGAAAAAAAAAGCTGGAAGTGGCGCTGTGGCTCAAGTGGTAGAGTGCTAGCCTTGAGCTGAAGAGCTGAGGGACAGAGCCCAGGCCCAGAGTTCAGGCCCCACAACTGGACCCCCCCCCCCCCCCCCCAAAAAAAAAAAAGTAGCTGGAGGTTGTTAGGATTGTTATTGGTAAAGGATTCCAGAGATAGAGACAGAATCAGTTTGATCTGTGTTTTAGTGTTGCTAAAAATGGCCCCCTGTAGGGTAAAATGCAATATAAGTAACTCATACATAGCAGGATGGAGTTACAATGTAGCAAGGCCATCAAAAAGGTAGAGTTGGCCTTATTCAACTCCTCCCCCTAAACTATTAAACCCCTTTTGTGCTGTTTTATGTTATATGTAATCCCAATACAGATAAACAATTAGCATCTTTTGAGGTAGTTGGGTTTTTTTTTTTTTTTAAGAACTGAGACTCGGGCTGAGAAGGTGGCTCAGTGGTAGAGTAAGCTTGCCTTGCATGCATGAGGCCCTGGGTTTGATTCCTCAGCACCACATAAACAGAAAAAGCCGGAAGTGGTGCTGTGGCTCAAGTGGTAGAGTGCTAACCTTGAGCTGAAGAGCTGAGGGACAGCACCCAGGCCCCACAACTGACAACTGAGACTTAGAAGATTTGTGTATTATGTAATTCACCTTTTTTGGGGGGGTGAGGGTGGGGGGCGGTCATAGAGCTTGAACTCAGGGCTTGGGAGCTGTCCTTGAGCTTTTTCGCTCAAGGCTAGCACTCTACCACTTTCAGCCACAGCTCTACTTCTGATTTTCTGGTTGTTAATTGAAGAATCTCATGAACTTTCCTGCCCAGGCTGGCTTTGAACCTCAGTCCTCAGATCTCAGTCTCCTGAGTAGCTGAGATTACAGGTGTGAGCCACTGGTGCCAACTTTTTGTTTTGTTTTATGGTGGTCCCAGGGTTTGAAAAGGGCTCTATGCTTCTCTATCTTGGTAGGTAGTATGCATTGGTACGTACATGTATTGGTCTGTTTTTTCACTGCCATAACAAAATCCTGAACCAGACTACTTTCAGTGCTTGCCTAGTATGTACAAGAACCCAGTCCCCAGCATTACCATACACACAAAAAAGCTGGGTGTGCTGGTTTCATTTCTGTAATTCCAGCTATTCAAAGAACTGATACTAGAAAACCACAATTGGAGGTCAGCTTGGGAAAAATGTTCATGAGATGCACCCCATCCCCTCAGCCAATAGAAAGCTGTATGCAGTGACCATGCCAGTAATTCTAGGTATAAAAGGGATTATTTTGACTCAGAACTCTGGACAAGCACAGTCTTAGTCATTTGGTGGTGGCTGCTCTCTGGGTTCTGGGATGGTGTTACTTGATGTTGCAAGAGTGGATGGAACATCTGTGTGTCTGGTTTCTGCCCCTCAAAACCACGGAGAATTTTTTATTGGAGCTCCACCCTAATGATTTTAAGGTTAATTACTTTCCAAAGGCCCCACCTCTAAACCATAGTTTCCATCTTTTTTTGGGGGGGGGGGGGGGGAGAAGATGCCATATAGCTCAGGGGTCAGTCCTTGGTTAGCATGAATGAAGCCCTGAGTTTGTTTCCTATCACCAGGCCAACTTAGTGCCATTAACTTTGGAGATTAAACTTCTTAAACTTCTGCATGGTCAGTGTTGCAAACCACAGCAGCACAGAGAAGGTTTTGTTGTTTTGCTCTTATATCTAAGAAAGCAGAGTTTTATATTTTTAGCTCTTTATGTTGAGGTCCATGATCCATTTTGTTTTGACTTTTGTTATGGTGTGAAATAGGTTCTGGTTTATTTGCCTAGTATATAGTGTTTTTTTTTTTGCTAGTATTGGGGCTTGAACTCAGGGACTGGGCACTGTCCTTGAGCTCATGGCTAGCTCATGGCTAGCATTCTACCACTTGAGCCACAGCGCCACTTCCAGCTTTTTCTGTTTATGTGGTATTGAGGAATTGAACCCAGGGCTTCATGCATGCTAGGCAAGCAGTCTACTACTAAGCCACCTTTCCAACCCTAGTACATTTTTTTTTAAATACCGAGGCCACTGTGTATTTAGTAACTTCACTTAACCATTTTCCTAAAGCCAATTTTGGTTTAAAAAGTTCTGGCCAGGCAATAATCTTTGCTACCTTCCCAAGAGGCTGATACCTGAGAATCACTGTTCAAAGCCAGCTCAGGCAGAAAAGTCTATGAGACAGCTCTAGGGTAACCACCAGAAAACTGGACGTGGAGGTATGACTCACATGGTAGCATGCTATCTGTGAATTGAAGAGCCAAGCAAGAGCATGAAGCCCTGAATTTGAGCCTTGATACCAACACACAATAAATGAAAATATGTAATATTTTAATAAAGTTATCACAATCCTATACCCAGCAGCTCCGCATGAACCACTGATGCAGATTAGACATGTTTGCCATTCTTCCATAGAAAAGTGGCAAGGCACAACTCCAGGGAACAGTATTTAGTGCCTTGCACTGTGGGGTTGGACCTACACAGGAATTTTGACTTAACTTTTAGAACATTATTTTAGTCATCATAGTTGGTGATTCTGGCCTATTTTATGATTGTGAAGAATGAATCAGTACTGTAGCATATTCTTCATGAAGCCTCCTCAGGAGCAGTTTGTTTTTTTTAATTTGAAAGTTTTTTAAATTTGTTATTATAGAGGTGATATGCAGAGGGGTTACATTTGCATGCATCAGGTAATAAGTACAGTTCCTTTCTCAAGACTGTCGTCTGTTCCCTCATTCTCTCCCATTCCCTCCCTCCCATCTTCTCCCTCCCATGAGTTGCATAGTTCACTTTCATCAATGGTCAGTGCACTCTACTGCTGCACTTTTTCATCCTTTGTCTTCAGATGTTGTGTCCTCCCCGCACCCTCCCATAGATATGCACGTGATTACACTGTATATAAGGCAAAGAATACAGGATCATCAGAAAAAAGAAAAAACAAAAATCCTTTGTTTCCATATCTTTGGCCTTCATTTCCGTATATATGTTGTATGCATGTGAAGAGGCGCTTGGGTATTGCACCTTTGTGACTCTCTAAGACCATCCTCTTGTGGTCTCACTGTATGTGAGACCCTGCGTAATTTGTCATATCCCAGTGCATCTTAGATCTAACTTCTACATATCAGAGAACATGTACCGCCATTTGTCTCTGATCTTGGCTTACCTCACTTAACATTAGTTCTAGTTCCATCCATTTCCCTGCAAAATGACATTATTTTATTTCTAATGGCTGTGTAAAATTCCATTGTATATAGGTAACACAATTTTTGGATCCACTCATCTGTTGTGGGGCATCTGGGTTGTTTCCATATCTTGGCTATTATGGTATACTTTTTTTGTTGTTAGTCGTGGGTCTTGAACTCTGGGCCTGGGTGCTGTCTCTGCACTCTTTAGCTCAAGGCTAGCACTCTGCCACTTGAGCCACACACCACTTCCAATATCTTGGCTATCATATAAATAGTGTAGCAGTGAACATGGATGCACAGGTGTCCTTATCACCTAGCTTATAATGTTCAGGGTAGATGCCTAGGAATGGTATTTTGAGGAGCCTCCTGACTGCTTTCCAGAAGGGTTTATACGGAAAGTTTTTGTTTGTTTGTTTTTTGGGGGGGGGGGTCCGGTCGTGGGGCCTGAACTCTGGGCCTGGGTGCTGTCCCTCAGCTCTTCAGCTCAATGCTAGCACTCTACCACTTGAGCCACAGTGCCACTTCCGGCTTTTTTCTTTTTGCTTATGTGGTGCTGAGGAATCGAACCCAGGGCCTCAGGCATGCAAGGCAAGCGCTCTACCACTGAGCCACCTTCCCAGCCCCCTATACTGAAAGTTTTTTAAAGGAGCCTCTTGTCCATCTCACTTCTCACTTCTACCCAAGGGTCCCCTGGGGAGACATGGTATACAGTTTCAGCTGGCTGTGGCATGAAATAAACAGTGGACATACTGCAGCGAGGACTGGAATGTTTGCCTGATGGGACATAGCCCAGGGATGGCTATTTGGCTGATAAAGATTAATCTTTCCTTTATTGGATGTGTTGTGTGATGTTGGGGATCAAACCCAAAGCCTTGCACATCCTAGGTAGACATTTTACTTCTGAGGTTTACCACAGCCAGTTCATTTAATTGCCATTCATTGGTACACTTTAATGTGTCTCAGATCATTTTTTTTTTTTTTTTTTGTCGGTCGTGGGGCTTGAACTCTGGGCCTGGGCGCTGTCCCTCAGCTCTTCAGCTCAAGGCGAGCGCTCTACCACTTGAGCCACAGCGCCACTTCCGGTTTTCTGGTGGTTTATTGGAGATAGGAGTCTCACGGTCTCTCCTGCCCGGGCTGGCTTTGAACCGCGATCCTCAGATCTCAGCCTCCTGAGTAGCTAGGATTACAGGCGTGAGCCACCAGCGCCCGGCTTTGTCTCAGATAATTCTTAAGTATAGTCAATTAGGCTTCAGACATTATTTCAAGAGCTGTCTGTAGCAAGCCCATTTTAAATTACTCTACACCTTGCCTATTGTGTTCTCACTTACCTTTCTAGGATCACTGTCACTTTCAATATTAACAACAGCATCCCTCCAACATTTGACAGTGAGGAGGAGTCCACACAAGGGCAGAAAGTTGAAGAACAAGAGGTAAGCCCTGGGTGCTCTGGCCAGCCTTTGTCACTTTTTTGTGGGTTGTGGGGCCTGAACTCTGGGCCTAGGCACTGTCCCTCAGTTCTTCAGCTCAAGGCCAGCGCTCTACCACATGAGCCACAGCACCACTTTCAGCTTATCTTTCTGCTTATGTGGTGCTGAGGAATTGAACCCAGGGTCTAATGCATGCAAGGCAAGCACTCTACCACTGAGCCACTTTCCGAGCCCCCCCTCTGTCACTTCTGACAGGCAAGAACTATTTATACTTCATTATAAAATTCCTGTACAAGTCCCAGCCTTGGGGATCAATGATTTGGGGCCAGCGTTAGCTCCAGGACATTGGCATTTTCTTTCCCTGTTGCTGAATACATTGCTGCCCGCAGTCTCTTGATCTCAACACTTACTTTACCACTTGAGCCCTATCTCCAGCCTTGTTTTTCAGTGGTTACTTTGGAGTTACTGCCTCGTGAACTTTTTGCCTAAGCTAGCCTTGAGTCATGATCCTGCTTCAGTCTCCGTATAGCTAGGATTATAAGCATGAGCTACTTCTGCCTGGTTTCCTGTGTTCTCTTAGTAGAAAGGAATTTACCCCTTTCTGTGATGGGACCCATCAGAGATTATAATTAGGAGGGTTTTACGTTACCCAAATAGAGAAGACTGAGGCCCCAGTCATTAATATTTAGCCAAGTGAAACACTTTAGGAAGTGATATGCCTGGCCCAGAAACCCACCTCTATGATGGCCAATGGTCTCCAGACTATCTGACCGAAGGACCTGGCATGAAGCTCTTGTGAAACGCACAGCTGTCCTCTTCTGTCGTGGGACTAAATTCCACAGCTCATCATGAGAAGGTTTACTGTCATTTTAAGGATTGTCACTTAGCCAAAGCCATGTGTCAGACTTTGAGTCTGCTCTGTAATAAAGGATTGGAGTCAAGTTGGAAGAGGGTCTTTAAGGGCTTTAGGCCACCTCTGATGTGTATGTGACGAAACTAGCCTACGAAGATGGAGATCTGTTAACTGGAGCTGGAATTCTAAAACTGACTCTTAAATCCATTATAAAAAGTGGGGAATGAGGCATTAATATTCTGTTATTCCAGGCACGGACCCTCCCAACAAGTGGCATTGCTGACTTGTTTTTGTTTCCCCAGCCGGAACTGACATCAACCCCCAATTTTGTGGTTGAAGTTACAAAGAGTGATGGCAAGAAGGCCCTGGTATTGGACTGTCACTATCCAGAGGATGAGGTATGTTGGGTGGAGTGCCTCCTGGGACCTTTGTAGTCTCTTTATTCTAGCAGGTACTCCAGGCAGAAGATTAGTGAGGGTGAGGAGGGAACAAGATTAGAATCTGGGGAAATTCAAACTATTAACCATTTCTTTGCATAAAGCTGGCTTGTTTTGGGAAACTTAAGTTTCTCTAAATACTGTTTTCTTTCAGATTGGACAGGAGGAGGAGGCTGAGAGTGACATTTTCTCCATCAAGGAAGTTAGCTTTCAGGCCATGGGTGACTCTGAATGGAAGGATACGAATTACACACTCAACACAGATTCCCTGGACTGGGTGAGTTTGTTGGGGTCTTGGAAGATAGGGTCTTAGCCAGTTCAAGGCCAAGAAGAAACAAACATTTTCATTTTAATTGGTGTTAGAAATTGTCTTTTAAAAAATACTAATAAATGTTCTTCCTAGGCTTTGTATGACCATCTAATGGATTTTCTTGCGGACCGAGGAGTGGACAACACTTTCGCTGATGAGCTGGTAGAGCTTAGCACAGCCCTGGAGCACCAGGAGTATATCACCTTTCTTGAAGACCTCAAAAGTTTCGTTAAGAGTCAGTAGCACTGTGAGAGATAGTGAAGGCCTTAATTTCACAGCTACATTTGGCCAGTGAGCAAAACTACCCTGATAACAGAATCATGTGCTTTTCAAATGGTTATCCTCATTATCATGGGGGAAAAAGAGCAAGTTTAAATTATTGACACTGCATTCACATTTACTATTCATCCTGTATTTTTTTCTGTACAAATTTATTTCTGGATTTTTGTATAACCTGAGACAATAAAATTGTTTTATCTCCTCCAAAATTGTTGTTTTATTTTCTATGCATTGAAACACCACAAATGGGAGTTGTTTGAAACTTTTAATATAAAATAAGTTATAAATAAGTGGTTTGTAAACAGAAGGCCCCTTTTGTCTTGAACCCAGAAAAACGATGTGTGCCTCAGTTGACTCTAGAGGATCACAGCCCAAGTGTCACACACCTAGTCAGGAAAACAAGTTAGCATAAATTGAATCTGGTCAGGAAGAGCTATCAATATAGGGTTAAAAGTCATGATCAGGTAGCAAGATTACAGGTATGAGCCACCAGCACCTGGCCCAGCTTTTTTTTTTTTTTTGGATCCAGTTGTGGGGCCTGAACTCTGGGCCTGGGCGCTGTCCCTTAGCTCTTCAGCTCAAGGCTAGCACTTTACCACTTGAGCCACAGCGCCACTTCCAGCTTTTTTCTGCATATGTGGTGCTGAGGAATCGAACCCAGGGCCTCATACATGCGAGGCAAGCACTCTACCACTGAGCCAACTTCCCAGCCCTGGCCCAGCTTTTTTTACTGAAATAGTCGAATATCTTATACCCTCACAACGAGTGACCAGAAAGATCAAAATGTGACATCTTGGAGCCTTCACTACAGGCAAAACAGCCCCAAGGACCATCAATTCCACAGACCTTTCCTTTATCTCCTGTAAAAGGATTGGTCAGAATGAGTAAAGTGACTAGGTTCCTTGCCAGTTCAGCCCCACCACTCTGCTAAGGTGGGTCCCATAGGTAACAACCCCTGCCAAGAGGTGGCTCAGCACATTCTATCCCCAGGACCAACTTCAGACCACATACCACAAATGCTCCAAGTCGTTGTTCAGGTTAGCATCTTGTACTTGACAAATAGTGAGGTCTGGGGTAGAGTGGGCTCCAAGTGTCTACATCGCAAGATGTTGAACTTGGAGACTACTGAATCAAATTTTGTCATTCCCTGCCCCCGTGCCTCCCCCCTCCCCCCTGGCCCCAACTCCAGGTTCTCATCTTTGCTGTGACACTCCTTACCCAAAATGATTTTTCCCTGTCTCTTCTAGAGCCAGTGCTGTCTGTCATGTTATATCACTGCTGCACAGCGCCCACTTTCCAGACCACCATTTCGTTTCACCACTGCTCTGAGTTACAGGGCCCTGAACTCCCAGTGTGAGTTCTCAATAAAAATGCAGACTAACCTGTAGGTGTACATGCAGTAATTAGTTCATTTCTTAAGTTTTTAAATGAAGATCTTGCTATATTATTCAGGCTGATCTTGAATTTCTGGGCTCAATTCTTGCTTTAGCTTTCCCAGAAACTGACTACAGACTGCATAATCATATTTGGCCACATTTGCTTTTTAAAATTTTTTTTCTCAGTGTTGGGGCTTGAACTCAGGGCCTGGGTGCTCTCTCTGAGCCTCTTTGTTCTTAAAGCTAGTGCTCTACCACTTTTAAGCCCTATCTCCACTTCTGGTTTTCTGGTGGTTAACTAGTCTCATGGAGATTCCTGCCTAGGCTGGCTTCAAACCCGGATCCTCAGATCTCAGCCTCCTGAGTAGCTAGAATTACAGGCATGAGCCACCAGCGCCTGGCCACACTTGCTTTTTTATATTTTAGGTAAGGTCTTGCTGTGTAGTCCAGGCTGGCTTTGAACTCTTGAATTCTCTTGTGTCATCCATCCTAGTGCTAGGATTTCAGAAGTGCACCACCACCACCACCACCACCTCTTTCCTCTTTTCAATTGGCTCTTCCATTCTCTTGGGTTCTTGGTCCAAAGCTAACACTTCAAGGAGGTTCACACTAGTGCAGCTACCATCTGTGGATGACTCATTCGTTTTCTTAGAAGTTGAGGCCATCTGGACCTGCCTTTTTAGCTGCTCTGCCTCCACTTGAACTGATTAGTAAACACATATTAAGCACCTACTCACATGCCAGCCACTGGGCATAAAAATAAAATGTAGTCCTTGCCCTTAAAGACAGAGACATACGAAGCAGAAACTCCAGCATACAGGAAACATGGCCTCAGCTACAGCTGGAGCTACAGCCGAGAATCAGTTGGCTGATTCCATGTGGAGGCAGACTTTACTGAGCATCTGGCATGACCTAGTGCTCAAGAATGCCAAAATTCCCCTTGTCTGAGACCCTGAAGCTATGACAATATTGGTATATATTATACATTTGCAGTACACTAATTGTGAGACATCAGTTCCTTTACTAAGCCTATAAGGCCTTTAAGCCAGATGGCTCCTGAACCCTTCTGTGTGGCCCTGTCCTTCAACCTGAATTACCACTTGGGGCAAGCAGCTAATCTTGGACTTTAGTGAAGCCTTGCTGAGTGACCTTGCTGAGTGCTATCTTGCTGTACTTCCTATATTTCACCTGTCTACAAAAGTGATACATAGCCACTAGGATTTCATGGTTGTGACCTGGTTTAAGAAGTGCCATGACCACTGTTGCTGATCCAGCAACAAAGCCGGTGGTGTAGCCAGGTGTCCCAATTCCCAGAGCAGTGGTCTGTCATAGAAGCGACTAGTGACCTTTTTTTTTTTTGTTTTAATTTGAGGCAGAATTTTTTTTTTTTTGGGGGGGGGGGTCTGGTCGTGGGGCCTGAACTCTGGGCCTGGGCACTGTCCCTCAGCTCTTCAGCTCAAGGCTAGCGCTCTACCACTTGAGCCACAGCACCACTTCCAGCTTTTTTCTTTTTGCTTATGTGGTGCTGAGAAATCAAACCCAAGGCCTCATGCATGCAAGGCAAGGCTCCACCACTGAGCCACCTTCCCAGCCCCTTGAGGCAGAATTTTTTTAATTTGAGGCTGACCTCAAACTTGTGAGCCTCCTGCATCAGCCTCTTAAGTACTATGATTGGTTATGGGTATGTGCCACCATGCCCTGCTAACATGTATGGAAATCATGCTGATGCCCTGATGCTCTTGCCACTACTGGGTCCTGTGGGAAGCTTACCAGACAATTCATGAGAAGACTTGGTTTTTCTTCTGTCCCGCCAGTGACTGAAAACTGGGGTGTATGAGGACAGTGTGTGCTGTGTTCATTCACACTGTCCTCCAAAGAGGAACGAAGCTTCTGCTCTGTTAACTCTGGACACTAAAAAAAAAAGTTCAACCACAAACTAATCTTAATTACTTCATAGCAAACAGATTGAAACACCTGATTCCTCATGCCAACCAATATAACCTCAGCTCTCTGGGATGGCTTGATTCCATGGGGCGTTAAAGACAGTCATAGGTACATGATGCACCAGGATCTTCTAACCAACTTCCATTTACTCACATCTCCAAATTAACTAACGCCCTCCATTCCTGCCATACAACTAGACTGCCACTGTGGCAAGAAGAATGCCCAGAGCCTGCCAGCTTCTTTCTGACCTCCCTCTGCTTTGCCCTACCCAGCCTACTGTGTCCTTACCAGGAACCAGCAGTGTCTGCTCCCAGATCTGTTTGTGCTAACTGAACTTGCTATTGTAACTCTGTGATTTAATTATATATTATATAAATCAATGATAGTGTACAGTTTCTTTGTTTTGTTTTGTTTTTTGCCGGTCATGGGGCCTGAACTCTGGGTCTGGGCGCTGTCCCTCAGCTCTTCAGCTCAAGGCTAGCATTCTACCACTGGAGCCACAGCACCACTTCCAGCTTTTTCTGCTTATGGGGTGCTGAGGACTTGAACCCAGGGCCTCATGCATGCAAGGCAAGCACTCTACCACTGAGCCACCTTCCCAGCCCCCTACAGTTTCATTTTTATAATTAGCAGAAAGTTGAGGAAAACACTCAAAGAAATGCATTAACTTTTTTTAAAAAAGCTATTGAATTAGGGGAAAGATGAAGAAAGAGAGCCACTCATGGTGGCTCAAGCCTATAATTCCAGCTAAGGAGGCTGAGATTGGGAGGATTGAAGCTCAAGATCAGACAGGCAGAAAGTTCATGACCACCTAACCCAACCAAATTCAGGATGTAATGGCCCATACCTGTCATCCTGGCTATGGCAAAATGCATAAATAGGAGGATCACAGGCTAGCCTGGGGAAAATATAATAACCTATCTCAAAAATAAGTTGGTACCCAGCTTACTTAAGAGTCCTAGCTATTTAGGATGTAACAAATAGCTAGGATGTTCTAGCTATTTGGAATACCAAGACTCGGAGGACTGAGATTTGAAGCCAGCCCAATCTAACTTAGCCAGCAAAATTTGGGTAAAATATCAGCTATAAGCAAAGAAATATCACAACTGGGAGGGAAGGGATAGTAGGAAGGAAACAAAGGAGGACGTAACAATGTTCAACAAGAAATGTACTCATTACCTTACTCATGTAACTGTAACCCCTCTGTACAGCCTCTTTACAATAAAATAAAAAAAATTTGGGCTGGGAAGGTGGCTCAGTGGTAGAGCGCTTGCCTTGCATGCCTGAAGCCCTGGGTCGATTCTTCAGCATCACATAAGCAAAAAGAAAAAAGCCGGAAGTGTGCTGTGGCTCAAGTGGTAGGGTGCTAGCCTTGAGCTGAAGAGCTGAGGGACAGCGACCAGGCCCAGAGTTCAGGCCCCATGACCAGACCCCCCCCAAAAAAATTATTTTTAAAGAAACAAAAAAATATGACAACTTGACGTCCTGAGTTCAAGCCCTGGTATTGGTACAAATAAATAACCAGAGCAAAGGGTTGGAACTGTGGCTCAACTGGTAGAACAGCTGCCTAGAGAGTATAAGTCTCTAAAAACTTTAGTACCAACACACACGCACACAGAGGAAAGAAATGCTAAATTTACATATTCAGCTTTTCTAATCCCCATTTTCTTGACACAGGGTCTCATTACAAATATTCCAGGCTTAGCCTTGAACTTGGAATTGTCCTACCTCAGCCTCCCAAGTTCTGGGTTTACAGAC